AAAATAGATCTTTTACAATTTTTTAAAAACTTGAATTAATGAATCAAGAATTGACATTAAAACACGTGCTCCCTCTCCTTCCTCAGTAGCCAACAAAAAGTCAAAAAAGCTAACACTGCCAGTTGCAACTTGATTAAAAGTCCACCTCTGTTTTCCCCTGGGTTTTGAATAGCTTCTAGACCCTCTACTTACTTCTTTGTTGAATTGTTCAGTATACAGATTCTCTATATGTTATACTGCCATCTGATCCCAGAGATCTTTTACCATGTCTGCTTCATCATAAATTAACTCACCTCCCAGAGGAGCAGCAGTAGCTAATCTATCAGCTTACCCCCTAACCTGCACACCCATGTTTTTGTAAAGGTCAGTATCGCTTACATCTTTGATATACATCAGACTGGGAACTAGATCTTTGTAGAGTATAGAGGAGGTAGCAGACCAACCTCAGAAATTTTCGGGGTGTTGTGGTTTCTCTAGGCAAATTTTACTTTCAGTAGTTTGTCACTGCTTCCTGAACGGCCAGCAAGACAAATCGTCTGCAACAGGAATCAAACCCAGCATTCCGGCACAATAAAGTGCGTTTGCAACGCCTAAGCCACAGACGCTGACGCCAGTGACTAGAAGTATATGCTAACAAAACATAAAGGACATCCATTAGCACACAACTGTGCCAATAACATTGGACTCATGTTTACATGACCTAAAGGCATTTGATGATTAACTTGGTCAGCACTTGTACCTCTTTGGTTTCCAGTGCTATAGTGGTCCTAATTAAAATCATCTGGTAATTTTCTCATCTCCTAAGAAGCTTTCAGTTAAGAAACAGTCAGGGTTCTTATGTGGGTGGTAAGAATCAAACTCGCTGCATTTGGCTTTTTGTGCATTTCAAAATCTAGCCAATTGGTAATAAGTATGATAGTTTCTCTTTTTTTTTATTTTCTACTGTGAAGGGTTTTTTAATGTGTGTAACAGTCACATAGAATCTTGAATTTTCTTTCATTAAAGTTTAAGTTAAAGTGGAGAGGACGGACTTCACTGCACACTAGGTTTTATACCCCAAGACTGGTCTCCCTCTGCAGAATGGCTGCAGCAAACATCGCACAAAGCAAAAATCTACATAGCTGATATGGCAATCCCCAGGGATCTCCATGAAAACTATACTTATGAACCGAATGATGCAGCTTTGCAGCTGTAAAATTAGCCCATGACCTTCAGAACTCAAGGCAAGCGACTTGATAACTTTTCTTGGAGACCCCCATTTGTTTTTTTTTAATAACCCAAGAAGGTCAGGTTAGCCAGCCTCTAGTTGTATAGAGATTTACTGTGAATTCTGATTGAGCAGTGGTGACAGAAACAAATGGCTGCTACTGAAAATAAGATCAGACAATTACCTGGGAGGAGCAACTGTCCATATAAAACATCTTTCTTTTTCTTCTTCTTCTTTTCTCTACTCCTGGAATGCCTCGCAGCATCAGGGCAGGAACAGATCTGAATTAGGCCCTTCTGTTCACTTAGTATAAAGTACATTTCAGTGTATCCCATATAATCAGTGTTGGAGGCACAGTAACCTTCTCCTCTCTGTTAACATTCTTTAATAAAACACTATCTGTAATGAGAGACACCTAACCATTATCATGTTATTGTATATAATCACACTATCAAGCCAGAATTCAATATCTGAACATGAGAAGTATTGGGTCATTTCAGGTGGATCACATTTGTCTCTCTTCAATTCAGAAATAAAGAGTATATGCCTCATCTCTTCAAGACAGTGCGTCTTTCTAATGTCTGTCTATACACCACAGCTTCTTTCTGCTTCCGATCTTAATTTATGGAGCCACTAACTTGAGAATTATACATGCCTTTTCACAGTAATTAGTGACATAATATTATTATGACGGTGTAGTTACTTTAGTGTCATTCCTATCTTTGTTTTGCTGATCTGTTTTATTTAAATAAAATATGAAGGGCATCCAACATTTCTGTTCCATTAATCTAACACTATATACTTACACTGATTACAAATTGGCCCTACGTAACCATCCTGACACCCCTGCAGGCATGTTCCATTAGTGTGGTGACAGATGGTTTCACTCATGTCTCCGACCTTGCAGAGTTCAGGACAGTAGAGACTGCAGCCAGGACCATAGATTCCATTGTCACAGACTGTAAGACAGAGTTTAAAACAGGAATTTTCAAACAGATGCTGAAAAAAGACAACATTAATTAAGTAGTTATTATAACAAGGGCTTAATGTCTAACAAACATGCTCAGAATGAAATAAAATATGATAGGCACATGAAAAAACAGAATGTGAGAGTGATGAGAATTTCAATACCAAGATGTACAGACACATGGGTGAACATACAAGAAGACACCAATCATGGGAATATATGTCAACTTACGCTCATCACACTTGGGTCCTAAGTAGCCAGCCTGACAACCCAGTAGACAGGTCCCATGGATGTGATCACACACAGACTGACTCATGTTCCCAACCTCACAAAACTGAGGGCACACAGAGCTGCAGTCTTGTCCATATGTCCCACTAATGCAGGCTGAAAGGATGCAAAATAAGGCTTTCCTTAACATAAACCAGCAAAGCAATATTGTCAGTTTTTACAGTATGAGAGACCTAAATGTGGGCTGGATTTTTCCAATGAGCTAGTCACAGAGATTATTTGCAGGATGTTATACACTTCTTACATTACCGTCTGTGTGTGAATTACAGTCATTAAATAAAACAGTAGGTAGAAGATGGTATTTTACTGTTGCATAAATAATGAAACAGTCACTGAGATTTTATAACTGTTGGTTTTTGTTTTTTAAACTCTAGGCACCCGGATTACATCAACAAACCACAGAAAAATTGTATAAATAGGCATATTGTTTCTACATTAACTCTGCAGGAAGCTAATCAGCTAACTCTGACTATAAGATAGTGATACATAAATATCTCCTAAGCATTTATCATTTTAACAAAACAGCATATCACAGAAGACATTATCATTATTATCCTTATATCACTTAGTACTACAGCTGGTGAAACTGAAAAAACTATCATAAAGCCTGAACTGATTTTTTTGTCCTTTGAAAGATAAAATCTCCTTGTCCTAGCTGCCAACTAGCAATGTCCAGTTTTAAGATTTTTCAAATTATTTACATCCAATAATTTCCTGTCCCCTGCTGCAAATTGTTATCCAGATCAGTTGATGTGTAGGACTGATGTCCTAACTCCTCTGTCAATGGCTCTTGCACCAAAGAAACAGCATAATCTATTTAGACACTTACTGTCCTCACAAAAAGGTCCTGTGTAGCCAGGCTGACATCCTTGCAGGCAGGTACCATCCACATGAAGGCACACACGTTGTTCACTCGTCATGTTGGCCAAGCACATTCGTGGACATGTAGCACTGCAGTTCTGACCATAATGTCCATTTTCACATTCTGTAAAGTGTATTCAAATAATGGGCAAATATAGATATTTGGAGGGACGTGTGCATGCATGTCTGTATTAGAGATGGCTTTGTTGATGATTTGGGGCACTCCTCAGTGGGATGCAGATTATAAAATCTGATAATGATATACTAGAATGTCCATGCTTTGGAGCCACCCATATGTAGGGAGAAATAAATATAGACATAGAACACATTGAGAATGGAATTAAAGACTGATGAATAAAATGGGGAGGACATGGAGTGAACTATTGGGGATAGCCAAAGATGAGAAAGTCTAAAATGGTGGTTAAGGGTCTGTGCTCCAGTGCAGGATTAAGAAAAGAAGAAAATGAATAATGGGATGCAGAGAAGACGCAACACAGTGTCAAAACTCTAGCAAGATGGATACAAAGTGTACATCTGTCTTGACAGTTTGCTGGCAGTGCCACATCTTTGACTGTCAATACAGTCACGGAGGTGAAAAAAACAAAACAGACTCAATGTCCCCTAACAAGCATGTACTAATAGGTGACTAATTATTTTTTGTTTTCAATCGGGTGTGGTGGACCAAACAGTCATATACTGCAGCCTAGCTGTAAACCACAGAACAATGGACCAACTGCCTTTTTTAAGGGCAAATGTGGAAGAAGAAGAAATACAATGAAATTTTTTTATTCTCTAGCCCTATGTCCGTGCATTACTTTGTTTTAGAGATAAGACAACATTTACATTCACAAACCCCTAGGCTCCAGGATTATTATTCAGTGAGAACAAGATTACTGACACCGACCACACCAAATAACAATTACAGGTCGCTCCTGACATTCACTTGGGCTTCATGCTCATTCAGTAGGAAATACAGGTTCCATCACCCAGGTAGAGGGGTGAGTGTTTGTTACAACACTGGGAACTTTCATGGGGAAAGTTTTGTGTGCATCTGTGGCATGTTGTTGACTGCACTAAAACAGTAGGTGGCTGCTTATATTAAGAAAGGTGTGCACTTTTATGGGTGCAATGCCAGCTTTCATGACTGACCATTTGCACTAACAGTTAGCAGCAATTCTGGTGTGGAACCGTTAGTGTTGGTACATCTTACAATCGCCTTGTGTATTTTTACTTTACGTGCATAAGCTTCAAGACTTTGCAAGGAATGGCAAATTTTTCATTAGTTTTCAAACAGGACAATAAAGAATTTTGTGAGTCATTTCCACTAGCATAGTAATCGAACAGTTGTGCTGCAAACCATTTGCAGTGATGTTGAGACCTAGATTAACAACTAACAACTCAGTGGAACACTTGCCACACAATAACAACATCACAAGCACAGGTGGCTCCAGACAGTCATTCAGGCATCATGCTCATTCACAGAAGAGCACCTCCCCCATTTATCACAATGTTGCTCTCAACAGCCACTTACCCTCATAACACATTGCTCCAGTGTAGCCAGGCTTACAGCCATGCAGGCAGGCACCATGAACATGATCACATGATGATGTGTTGCTACCGTCCGTTCTACAAAATTGTGAACAAGAGTTGCTACAGTCGGGTCCATGTGATCCGTGTCTACAGACTGGTGGACAGGACAGGACAGTTCAACATCAGTTAAATACTAGGAAATCATATCTTTAATGTGGTTTTTGTTGCTCATAGTAAGTATATGCATATATATTTATTATCTGGCCTAGTTTAAAGAAAAATTACAAGAGAACATATCATTGCCTTTTCCAAGTTCGCTGATATCAGTGACTGATACTAGTGAAGACTAGGTAGCCACCCTGAAAAAAAAAGTTGACGTGCTAGATATCATAAGGTGGGTAATCTGGTAATCTGGTAATCCTAGTTTCAGCATCATAGCAAACGGGTCACCCCATTGTTGCTCCGCTCCTGTGCCAACGAAAAACACTCGTAGCTCACAGTGTCACACCATGCACTCAACTCAGAAGCTGGGTGACGAAACTATATCCTTCCAGTCTACAAATGGAGCAAAAATGCAACGGCCACCGCCTGGCAGAACTGCCACGGCTTAAAAAGAAAAAAAAAGAAAAAAAAAAAAAAAAAAAAAAAAAAGTGGCCGTGCCTAGCGTCCACTGTGACTTGAAGCATTATGTGAGGGGTTAACAAATGGTCACCCCAGCAGTACCCTCACTATTAGCTGGGAAAGGGACTTGGGACATTACATAAGGTGGGTGGCTGAAGCAAGAAAAGAGATTCCAAACATATCCCTAAAGTCTTGAAAAATTCCTTTGGACCATAAAGGTGGATATTTAAACCTTTAATGTGGGAAACTGAAATGAAAGATGTAAACAATAAATTTGTTTCCTTGCTGGAAAAAGTACCAGGCGGTGACAATGTCAATGTAGATGACATTACTGAATGGATGACAACTGACAAACGTAGATGACAGGAAAAGTATCATCCCAAATTCAGAAAGGTTAAGTCGATTGAAATAGTGCCAGGTGATGCGGGTGTTCAAGGGAACGAGTGTGCAGACTATCTTGCTGACACTGCGGCTTTTTATGGCTGGTCCAGTACTGGACAGAAGTGATGTTATCAATGCCATGCGCTGCACTTACGGTACCAAGTAGTACGCCAAAGGACATGACTAGGTATTCCTGTCTAGACTGATGGACATGGGAGTGCAACCTGGAGTTGTAAGAAATGAACATTCCCCTAGGGGGACAAGATGTTTCATTAACCAACACAAAACAGGCGTCATCAGTCGTGTTACACTTGTGGAGCTTTTAAGGAGGAGATCAGAGCACCTATAGATGTGTCCGGAGTATTGTAATGATAATCCTTTCTAATCCCTAATCACTAAACAGCGCAGAAGTACATTACTGAGTAAGAGGTAGCCATACCAGCTGACATAAACTGTAAGTGGAGAGAGACTGCGTCAAGGAAGAGGGCAAAATGTGTCAAGCAGTCATCTATCAGACTACCCAAAAAAACTAAAAACTAAGTTCCTGACTCTATCATCTCATGTGATCTTTTCCCATCTGTGTAGTTATTTATCAGTTACCAGAAACAAATTCAAACAATTTTTGTAAGCCTACATTTTATGTTTATGTTTTGTATATTTTAATGTGTGGGTGTTCATACTATTTGGTGTACATGATTTTATTTTTCCTGAAGTTAAGTTAGACATTATAAATAGTATCTTAAAATATGAACAATATTTTTAATTTTGGACTTCCTTTCCCCTCCATTATAAACATTAACAAAACATACAGTACAATACATAAGAAACATTTATTAAAGTACTGGCCTGTACTAAGAGGTAAGAAAATATGAATAAGAGAGGATTTCTGCATAAACAGGGTGTTTTTTAAAGATACGAATGGTAGTAGTAGTAGTACTTTTACCAGACTAGGACAACACATACGATAAACACCCAATGACAAAAAGTGCCACCATGTGGATGAGGATTACCCGTGGAGAGGTCCCAGAAACCGCTTTCAGCTATTAGGCCTATTAATGGCCGGGCTATACTGGGGCCTGTGGCAAGAGCCAGTGTAGGGCTTTGAAATAACAAAAAAATTGCACCCCACAAGGGTATGACTAAGGTTTGAGTTAGAATGTGAGTATTTATAGAACTCTGGCATATCCAGAATGATTTTGTTATCTGGCATATATATTTATAAAGTTTTTCCGTAAATTATTACTTCCAGTCTTCAAATACTACACAACTAATCTATAAGGAAAGAAGAATCACTGTATATATCTTGCAACTTAACACTACTCTCTTCTTTTATCAATATCTGCTTTGTGCAACTAGCCAGCACAGTTTTACAGATAATGGGTAGCCCAGCCAGGCCATGATCGACTGCTGGGTATATTGAGAATCCATCTTCTCTAGATTCTTGTTTCTCTCTCTCTCTCTCTCTCTCTCTCTCTCTCTCTCTCTCTCTCTCTCTCTCTCTCTCTCTCTCTCTCTCTCTCTCTCTCTCTCTCTCTCTCTCTCTCTCTCTCTCTCTCTCTCTCTCTCTCTCTCTCTCTCTCTCTCTCTCTCTCTCTCTCTAGTCTACCACTGTAAGTAAAGATGCTCCAAAAGTATAAATTCTTGCTCTTGTTTGCCCTTTGATCTATTATCTTTATGTAAATGGTTCTGTGCTCTCTGCCTACACTCATGAACCTTTGTAATGAGAACCTTAAACTCTTCTCATGTGTACTGACATGTCAGAAGCAGAGTGTGAAACTGACAGCAGAAAAAAAAAAGACAACATAAACAGATTTGTAAAGCCATAAGAGCAAACTGACAAAAATCCTCCCATTATTTTTGTTAAAACGCTTGGTCAGAGTATTAGACATGGACATCTGATACTGAAATCTGAAAAATGCAATGAAAAAACAACACAAATGCCTTTACAAAGAGTTGCTATAGAAAATTAGAGTTGAAGCTGCATGGTCTCGAGGCAAGGTGTCCGCCTCGAGCGCTAGAGGTTCCGGGTTCAATCCCTGGTAAGGGCTTGGATGTTTTCACGTGGACTTGGACTTCTAGCAATTCACCCTGGTCTCTGGGTAGTAAGATTGGACACCCGTGTGAATTGTTGGGCACGTAAAAAATCAGTTGGCAGTTGGAAATCAGAAAGAGTGAGTAGCCTAATGGCGTTGCCCGTGCAAAAATTTGGAGTTAAAAATCTACCCAAAGTATTTCAGAATCCTCGCCAGTGCTACAGAGCTTGTGGATTGTGCTGAGCTTCTTCAGACTCAGACTTCAGATAGAGCACTTATGGGTTACTACCTGTGTGCCATGATGTTAATCCATTGATCAGCTTCAAACCTCAAACCCAGATGAGGCTCATGGTGAGCTGTAGAAAGCTACGAGCACCTGGAGGTAATGACATGACAATATGGTTTCAGTACCAGCCTCATGACTGAACAACATAAAGATGACCTATGAACATGATGATGATTATACAATGAAAGGTTCCTTTTTTTCCCGCTGGCACAAGAATGGGGTAACTATGGGGTGACCCATCTGAGGTAATGTTGGAAGTGCAATTTCCTGATCACCAACAGTGTTTCTGATCTCTTTTTTTTTTTCTCACATGACCTCTTTCTGTGTTTGTTCACGGTTCCTGTTGATATTCATTATGAGGTGGTTAATACCTATTGTTGTTTCTTAAAAGATTTATTTTTATTTTTCTAAACTGGCAAAATATAGATTCCCAATGGTGAAACTATAACAGCAATAAAAGTATACATAGAATGATATACACAACAGTCAATTCCTAACGTTGACTGACCTTGACTGCAAGATTCTCCCTTGGAAACCAGGAGCACACCCAGAAGGACATCCTCCAGTGCTGACAAAGCATGTGTCATTTTTATCTGCACAGGCACACTTGTGTTCACATTCCCGCCCATACTGGCCAGACTCACATAAACTATCTGTAGGATTAGATAAATTATATAAAAGCTTTTCCTTGCCCCTTTTGTTGTCCTATTAAGGAGCTATAAAACCCTTCACAAACAGGTGTCAATACTTTCTACGGGTGTTCGGTGGCGTAGTTATTGCATCTGCTGCTAAGTCATAAGAAATCAGCAGATCAAATCTGTAAAGAACCCTTTTTTTCATGCTTTCAGGTATATTTAGCTTATGTGGATAGACCTATGTTTTATAGACAAAGGCATTCGATAGGTGATGCGGCAACATCATGCTGGCTGTCTTTGCTTTCCAAGACATTACCTCACACCCATTTAAGGTTGGGTAGACCGGAGAACCAAGGTCCAACACTGTTCGGATTTGAACCCATGAACCATCAAATCTGCAGGCGAGTGTCTAGTTTCTACATCATGGCAGGGATTAAATTTTTAGAATATTTTTTCCATGGAACTGGATGATGTCACACTCTTCATGTTTCCATGGTAGATCAATATTTCTTGTCAAGAATAGTTGACACACACATCACACTTTTGAGAACACAAATGGTTCTACAATTTAAGCCATGCTGGTGTGGGTGGAAATGAATGATCAGATTGGCACCTCTAGAGGTAACAGTTGAACAATTCAGCAACAGAATATGATAAATGTGCTGGCAGCATAGCAGAAGCAACGACACTTGGCTGTAAACAGACATAATACAATCAGCATTCTTTCTAGGACACAAAGCGGATGAGATGTGTGCCTCCTGTACTCCCAGTGGCTCTCCTTTACCATGATTCAATGACTATCACAACAGCTATGTAAGCAGCAGTGCAGCCACTGGCAGAATAAACCAAAAAATATAAGCTTTTTGTTTAAAATACTGCAGGTAGACTATGGATCTCCTGTGAAAAGTAAACCTGTGGAAAACAATAATAACAGAACGAACGAACGAACAAACTTTATTTTCAAAGGGTTATAAATGATGCAAAACAAGCACTGAATGTTGAATTCTAAATTAAGAATTTACAAAGAATACCTTCAGCATGCACTAAAAATACCTTAAGATCTTGTGTGTGTTGATCTATGCATGCAGGCAAATGCTAGACAACGAGTAATGAAATTATTAGGAAACTAGAGCTAGTGTCATTTTTTTTTTTTTTTTTTGGGGGGGGGGGAATGTTCGGATCTTCTTCAAAGTATTCACATTCTTGACAATACAGGCCAGGTTCACAAAAACTATCTGCAGGATTAGATAAATTATGTTAAAGCTTTTTCCCCTTGCCCCTTTTGTTGTCCTATTATGGGGCTATTGAGCATTTTACAAACAGATCTCAATCATTCTGCTGGTGTTTCAGTGGCTTAAAGCTATTGCAACTGTAATCATTAGATTAGCACTGTGTTGTGGTTTACAGATAGGCACAGACATCTGGACTTATTGGTCCAGCACATCTAATTTCAGCAAACCTCTTTAGTCATCTTTCATAACACGCTTGCTGGGGCAGTGAGTCTATGCTTATTTCCTAAGATGTCTTGGGCTACACGTGTTTATTCTACTTGCTAGACGTTGTTTGTGCTGATGAAGGTTCTGTAGCCGCAACATTCACTTTCTTCATTTGTATTTGTTATATCATGAAGCTCGCTAATCTACTTTTCATCTGGTTTTATATCTTTCCATGATGTTTCCTAAGATGGGGTCCTGGGTCTCATATTTGAATGCTGGTATTCAGATTATTGTAAAAGGAAAAGAACACAAGGTGAGATATGGCCAGCTGCTGGTGCTGCTAGGTCAGATACAAAACCATCAGAATAACACAAATGAAATCTATGGGGCATATCAACAGAGAAGGGACAACTGAGAAATTAGCATTGTGTGAAGAAATAACTGACAAGAAAAGCCTGAGAAGACAGCTGGGCAAGAAACAAAAATAAATAAAATAAAAATAATAAAAGCAGTATCAGTTTCATAAAAATATCACACAATGAGAGGTTTCAAGAGTTTTGATTGCCAATATTTGCTCCAGACTAGGCACTTGAAGTTGAATAGGCAGAAAAATACTGAAAAGAAGAATCACAGCTATCTAACTTCTTTTTACCGATGTTAAATAAAAGGTAACGGTAATGTCAGGAGATGTGAACCAATGTCACTGTACACGGTTATAAACCATAAGTGCTCTGCCACTAGTACGGACAGCTGATAAGAAACTGTCCACCTGTGTCACCGTCCGCATGCAACTCTGTAGCTATAGCAACATTCATCCATTTACCCCAGTCTTAACTCTGGTACCCATTTCCTAGAGGCTTGGTGAGCTCCGGTAACCTGCAGCGAGTCACAGATGGATTTGAAAGCGAGTATCCTATCGACTGCACTAATGCAACCCCCTAAATTAACACCAAGAACCTTAACAAAACCTAAGATAGCAAAATTGCTAGCAAGTCTGTCTGATGTTCAGCACACATATTTTTGCAAATTAAAAAAATCAAAATGGGTTTTCAGTGTTTCTCAAAGGGTATCAGTAAATGGTTTGGGGAAAAAATGGCTGGTGTGATAATGACTGCACCACATATCAAGTGTCATTACATTATAAGAATATTGAATAGCATCATATGCACACAACACCCCAGTGTGTGGTAATTTTATTTACTTTACCTTTTTAAAAGATCTTCATAATAACTTAAACAGGCTACATAATTACCTCCAAAAATTTCAACTTCACACAATGTCAGAAAATTGGCATTCCGATTGACATCCAAACTGGCAATCTGTATCTTGACAAGTGAAATTGGAGAGGGTGGTGCTGTTGATGTAACTGTGTACACGCCTTGGGTTGTAGGCACCAGATCCTTAAACTTGAACACATTAGTCCCTTCTTCACTGAAACTTTCTAGTAGGAATCCCTGTAGTCTGTGAGCAACTGAAAACATTACCATACAGTACCGTAAGTCACTTTTCTAGTTTGGATAATCTTTAAAAAAAAAAAAAGAGTATGACAGATAAAATTGTATACAATAAAACAAGATACCAGAAGACAAAACTAGATAATACAAGACTAGACAATGCAAAGCATGACTGCACTAGACTTGAAACTACCAGACAAGATTAGACTAAACAATGCTAAGCAAGATTAGGCTAGGCTTAACCAACAAATTTAGACACAGCAAGAGATGACTAGACATTGCAAAGCATGACTAGATAAAATAAAACATGTCAAGGTTAGATTAGAAAAAAAAAAACAAAGAAAGACTTGATTAAGCTAGACAGAGGAAGGTCATACAAGGCTAGAAAAAAAAAGTAAGAAAAGTTAAGTAAAACTAGACAAATCAAAGCAAGAAAAAAAGTTAGTTGTGTATCTTCTACAGGACATAGTAGAATCAACCCCAGCAGTTTTTTGGCTGTTAGTAGTTTCAAATGGCAGTTTTACATTCAGTATTTGCCATTGATCCTGAACGTTCTGCACTCCATACAGCTGTTGAAATGAACGCAAACCACTAGATGGACAAATTTTAAAAAAAGAAAAAAATAATAAAAATCAAGTCTAGACAGGTAGATAAAGCAAGATAAAGTTAGAAAATTAAGGCTAGGCAGGACTAGACAAAGCAATAAAATACAAGACTAATTATAAAAAGATCTAGACCAAACAAAAAGACAAGACAAGACTAGGAAATGCATGAAAAAAAACATGACTAGGAGGCTCAACAAAATGCACCCAGTTACAGACATTCAATACATAAAGTTTATTTGGCTTGAAAACTGTAATATATCCAGTTACCAAAGAAATCTGGCAGTCACAGCTCTGTGCTCTGTTCAACTGATCAAACATGGAATACTTTGGAAATGGGAGGGGGGGGGGGGGGGGGGAGATCTGGATATTCCATCTTTCTAGACTTGACAAAGCAAGATAAGACAAGACAGGGCAAACAAAGCTAGGCAAGATTATATTGGTCTAGTAGTGCAGTGAGGCAGTGAGATCAGGCCAACATTCTACACTCAGATAAAAGCAAGACAACATATAATCTAACTGATGCTGGTACCATTGGAACTGGAGCTCTTTACTGGCTGCTAAAAAAAAAAGGGATGGCGCGTGTGTGAGAATGTGCAGAGAGATTTGATGTTGGATTTTGACTTACCCCAACTACTAGTCAAGCAAAAACAAATTTGGCATATGCAGAACCAACCCCAGCATATTTTTGACTGTTGTGGTTTTTCTAGGCAAACTTCTGTTTAGTAGTTTGCCACTGCTTTCTTAACAGTCAGCTCTCGAAACCACTACTGAAACCAATGCAAGCCAAATTGCCTGCAGCTGGGAACAAATCTGGCATTACGGCATTACCAAGTGTGTTTACAATGCCTAAGAAAGTTGGCATATACTAGATTAAAAAAGCAACATACAATGCTAGACAGGAAGAGATGAAACAACCACTGTAATTATATATTATTTTTTAGTAATTGTATATTATTTTTACCTAATGCTCTATTGTAGAGCACGTATCTGTTCACTGTTAGTTTCCCGGAGAAGGTCACAGCCCATGCGGGGCTGTTGTCATCATAATTTGTATGTGTACAGCTGCCATGTTCGAAAATGTTGTCCCTGTTGCCATCAACAGCATTCTTGGACTGTGACATCGATATCAGTGGGAAGATACTGGTTTGTGTGGTCCTCTGTTTTAGTGCTACATTTCTACCTGTTGGTTACAATTTTAAAATATGTTTTCAATCGTGAAATAATTTTTTTAGAAATTTTATGAGAAGAATTCAGCTTGAAAAATGACTAACAACAGGAAGACTTGATGGGGAAAAAAGAAAGGAAAGACACACACAAAAAATGCTAAATAAAGGCCAAGAGCTTGACTATGACATTGCCAGGGCATGATCACAAACCTGCTCTTCTTCTTCTTCTGCGTTCGACATCAGTCATGCTAAACATTTAGTCCCGTCTGGGTCACAAATAGGATTGTGCGTTTAAGGTCGCCACCGGTCCCCCATAGCTTCTCTTGCAATGTGACTCCCTTGGGCCAGATCCACAGTCTTTGCTGAGAGAGGTTAGGGCAGTACTGCAGTATGTGCTCAGGGGTCTGTCTTTCTGCTCCACAATCACAAGCAGCAGATATTTTTATGCCTATCCTGTACAGGTGTGCTCGAAGACCACAGTGTCCTGTCCGAAGTCTAAAAATTGATATTTGTTCTTTCCTGTTGAGTTTGTTTATGCTGTCACTTTCTGGTCTGTAATCTCCATTCTGCCTTCTCCACTCCCACTTAAAAGACTGCTTTAGTGCTGTTTTGGTTTCTTTATAGCTGTGTGGTGGATGAGGTTGTGGAAGATTACTCCCAGCTTTTGCCAACTCATCATTTTCTCTCATTTCCTTGAATACCACAGTGGGCTGGTATCCACTGCAAGACCAGTTCTGCTTCCTTGGAGAGTAAGCCAATGTTGGTCCTTAGATCAGCAATTAGTTTGTCTTTTTTGCTGGATAGTGCTTGGAGAACAGACAATGAGTCACTAAGTATAACAATTTGGTGCCCTCTGTGTTCTTGAGTGATGAGATGTTGGACTGCAGAGAGCAGGGCAGTTGCCTCAGCTCTGAAGTTAGTGCAGATGTCACCTGCTGGTAGAGAGAGAGTTTCTGATCTACTGCTAGGGGGTTTAATGTATATTCCACAGCTCCCTTTCTGACTGCATCTGTAACAGAGCCGTCGGTGAAAACCTGAGTCCAAGTGGTGTTGGGATTCTTTTCATCAAGCATAGTCTCCGACTGGGCATCTTTTGAAGTGATCCCTGGTACCTTTAGGACTATATTTGCCTTCTCTGGCTTGCTTGTCCATGGTTCTGGTCTAAGTTTTTCGCATAGTGTAACATCTCTTTCAAGCAGATCTTGGTGTTTTCTGTACAGTTTTCTAGCTAGGTGGTTGGGGCTCTGAAGCATCAGTCTGTTTTTTGTTCTCTCTTGAAATTCAAAATGCAGTGGGTGACTTTAAAGTCTTTTTAATTTCTCATACTGTAAAAAAGTTTTGTTTTTTCTTCTGAGTTTGAGTGGTTCAGTGCTATCCTCTCTATCTCTCTGATGGGGGTGGTTTTCATGGCTCCGAGAACAATCCTTAATCCCATATTCTGAGCCTTGTCCAGTTTTTTCCATTGTTGTCTTGGCTGCTGCCACCCATGCAGTGGAGGCATATTCCATGACTGGCCTGACTGCTCCAGTAAATACTTGTTTCAGGATTCTGGAGTTAGCGCCCCATGTGGTACCCGCTAATTTTTTCATCACTGCAAGCTTCTTGAATGCTTTCCTCTGTACTGCCTCTACGTGTGACTTCCAAGTTAGTCGTGAATAAAGTGTAACGCCAAGAAAGGTAGGAGTGTCAGTCTGCGGAATGAGCTGGTTTTTTATCCAGATTTATTTTTGGAGGCGGTGAGGGGGGGGGGGGGGGGGAGAGAAAAAGTGATGCTGTGCTTTTTGAATTATTTAGCTTAAGATCCCACTTTTTGGTTCAGACTTCTACATTTTCCACAGTTTTCTGTAACAGACATGAGGTTGTGGTAGTGTATTCAGAGGCTGTCCAAATTGCAAAGTCATCGATCGGCATGTAGGGTATTAGAAACGTTCTGGTGGCAGGTTGCTGTGATATCATTTATGCTATCACACTGCATGATTCGTTGAATGACAAACCTGCTCTGAGAATGGTGATCATTGGAAATAGCAGATAATGACTACCCACAATTGTTGGCATGACATGTGATGATGATAATGCCAGTTAATGTCACCCAAGATATCGTCACAGCTCTTTACATTTTTAGGCCACTCCACATGAGGTTAATAACAGCTCTTTTCCTCCCTACTTTTCCTTTATAGAAAATGTGGAATGCTGGGAGGTACAAACTGCATGAGAGTAGGTCAGTCACATTTATACAGGCTGACAAACAGAATTCAACTGCAGACAAATGCTTCTAACACTGCAACTGCTACAGCTCCAACAAATAAGCCTATTAAGTAGGGCTGTAGTTAATATTAAGCAAGATAAATAAGTTAGATGGTTAAGCTATGTTAGAAGATTACCAGAACAAAGTGTCACTGAGCGAGCTCTAGCACTTAGAAACAGAGAAACAGGTCACAAACACTGGATTGATGGACAGTTAAAGAATGAATACTATCATATGTGCAGCATCACATACCAGACTTTTCTCAAGAAGCATTTTTCTCAACCTGAGGCTGGGAAGTGAGAGATCACTGCAGAATCACAGCTCTTAGGTGATGAAGGAAAGAATTTGTGAGCATGTGCTTAGGGAAAGAAAATAAATGTAGCACAATGAAACAAAACAAGAAATATTAAGTTGATGAAACCCAAATCTAAGACGTGTGTGCGTGTATCTGTGTGTGTGGGGAGAAAGAGAGAGTTCCTTCTCTTGGATTTTGCCAGGAGAATTTCAGCACAGTGCATGAACTCCACAGCAACAGCAAAAATCTATGTTTGTGTGTATACTAGAATTATGCATAATATAAACATTCCATTGTGAGCAGGTTTTCTAACTTGGGCATTAACCTTATCAGCCTGTTATTCGGATTTTCAACTATTGGGGTAATTTTGACAGGCATACCTTGAACTGTTTAAATTTTTCTTTTTCTTCTTGTGCGTTCATCCAAAGATGCAATAGCACTATACCCGTTTACAGCATGGCTATGATATTTGTGCTTTTTGGTCAACATTTCTGACTTCTGTAGGCATTTGTTGACTGGTTTAACCTTCACTTGTTCTAGTTTTTCAGTACTGTCTAAGAAGGGTAAATGTTTAAATCCACTACTCTGTGACCAGAAGGGAGTTTACCAGTTTTTCTTTTACATTATAAAAACCCACAGTCTGCACAATAAATAGTATCAAATCTGTTCAAATTATACTTCTAAGACACTCCACCTTCAGTATCCAGCAACAACAAATCTGCGAGCTCACCTCCACTGATGTAAACTGAACATAAGTACTTGACGCCCTCGCCAGTTATTATGACTTGTTTCACCATCTCACTCAAGTCACAGTGAATGTCCACCGTTCTATCATTGACTCTGGCTTGCTGGTGGTTTGTGCAGTTGACTGACTGAGAACTGTCGGTTTTAAAATGAAGAGACAATCTGCTCAAGACATCTGTTGATAGTAAACACGACAAAGGTAACTCTTCAGACATGTGAAATCTACACAAGACTAGCAAAATAGACTCACCAACTGTTTAAAGTGAACGGTGAACACAAGACTAGACACTAGATTAATAAACTCAACTGCATAAGGTCAATATTAGTCTAATAAAGTCACCAAATCAGTTGTTGTGTCAAGTTAAGAACTGACAACAAAGCACCCGGGGCATTCCCGTGTGTGCTCCGTCTTCATCTTAAGCAGCCAGCTCAGAGTTCCAATACTGATGGCACGTGTCACAATCTGGTTATATGTCCGTCTGGCCTTTCCTCCAAGTGAAGTGAGCCAGCCAGACCCTCTGGTTTAACCAAGGTGCCCAATTCTCTCCAGGCCATAATAATCTTGTTTCTCCTCTGACTTTGTTGCTTGTTCCCAAAGGGCCTTGACCACATCTGCCTTGTCATGTATCAAATCCCAACCCAGTGGTGCAAATCCAGCCACTCTGCTCGAAGCATCATTATCTTTACCTTTCTCAGCATGCTTTCAGAGTCTGTTACAATTATGACATGTGTATGAATCTTGTTATCTAGCCACCCGAGAGCAGCAGATACCACCTACACCTCCATTCTCATGCTAGATGTTGTGGTGTTGTATGCTATGCTGTCATATACTAAAGATTTTCCATTGGCTTTTGCTACAAACCCCCAGGAACTTCTTTCCTCTCAACCATCTGTATAGATAATCAATCACCTGAGCATAAATAGTCGTGAATCAACTGTTGGACTTCCACCTCCACAGCACCCGCTGGCCACTCTCTGCACTCCCGGCCCAAAGTCACCAAATGTGCAAAGTCAATACTAGACTAGCAAAAGAAATTCCAATTATGTCTAAAGCTAACCTCTTTAAAAAAACACCATGGATAGACAGAAAGGTATTTTTCTTATTCCATCCTTCTGCCAGAAAACATATACAGACTGGTAGCTTTGATGAAAGCGTGCCATCTATATTTTGCTATGTACCATAAGGCTTTGTCTTGACTGAGATTAGAATACAACAGACTGCTTGTCGTGCCCCCTCGAATATGTGGCAAGACCCCCACACCTCCCTTGAGTTTATGGGAAAACCCCATACCCCACCTTTCTTCCAACATAAAAACATGTGATTAAAAAGTTGAGGACAATAAATCCCGCAACAACAATAAAAGCCAACAGAGAGTATAGAGATACATTTTGGTCAGAATGTGTTCTTCATTCATGAATTCCCAAGTTATCATATTAGTTAGATATTTACCGTAGATATGCAAACTGTTTATGACAACACAAAATAAGCGTTTTTTAATATTTTATTTATAATTACACTGAAAAGTATATTGAATTATTAAAATACAAATGATGATGACAAATTACTAGCACAAAAAGCTTCTGATATAAGTTGGATATAAAAGTAGTTTCCCCTTACCAGGATCTTTGACAACAGCCTTCAGCCAGGTGAACTGATAAGGTATAGTCCAGACAATAATTACCATCTGTGTGCTATCATCAACACAAGTATTGTCATTGCTATCCCTGACAACAAATGGAGGCAGTAAACTTTGATCTAGGGTCTCACTCTGTACCAAGTCCTCTGTGAAAAATATGTGACGCTCATGAATAAATGCATCTCTTTTCTTCCTCTTCTTCTCTTCCGACACTTATCACATCAAGGCAGTGGGGTGGGGGCAAGGGGGAGGATCTCTAATTCTGATTCCCTCTCTCTCTCTCACTCACTCACTCACTCACTCACTCACCTCACTCACACACACACATGCGCACATGCACATGCACAAACACAACACACTCACTCACACAAGGCTCGACCACGTTCAACCTGCTGTTAGCTAGCTGAAGTCGCCAACAGTCTCCAGTTATATTTGTGGTCTGGCATATTTGCACCACTTATGTGGCTTATGTTCTGGTAAGTGCGCCAGCTCAACAAACTTGGCGCATTTAAAACCTGCTTTTTATATCTAGAAGATCTATTAGGTTCCTCATAGCTCTACATGATGTGTCTTTGGTTCACCCAAGTATGATGTGGATTGCTTCATTTGTATCTTTTCCAGTCTGTTGATTTGTGTCTTGGCGAGGGTGAAGACTTAAAGACAAATACAGCTTTATCGTAACATTTCTGAGTTAAACCTTCGCAGTAGCCTACCATTCTTAGTGGTGCCTGCTTCATGTATCACATGTGACTCAACACTTCTACTTCTACTGTCAAGACGTGTCATACATATGCTAGACCTCTACTTACAAATAGATAAATAAAGTAAAGGACCTTTTTCAACACCTTCAGGCGTATTGGGAATATAGGGCTAGATCTATATTTTAAAGACAATCGGCACTTAATGGGTGCTGCATCACATTGGACATCTCTCGGTGACGGCTGGGATTTTTTCATGTGGACTTCTAGTAATCTTCCCTGGTCTTTGAGTAGTAAGATCAGACGCCCATGTGTATTGTTGCACCCGTAAAAAAACACCCTAGCAGCTGGAAATCAAAAAAGAGTAGCCTAACAGCTCTGCCTGGGCAAAATTTTGAGTTAAAAATTCACCAAAAGTATTTCAAGATCCTTGCCGGTGCAACAGAGTTCGTGCACTGAGATTCATCATACTCAGGCTTGAGTTAGAAGTAGAATGGAACACTTATGGGTTAAACCCGTGTGCCAGGATGTTGATCTGTTGAATAAACCAAATGTCTACTTCCCATGACTTTAACTGGTACCCATGTAAGGACGGGATGACCTGTGAGCCAAGGTCATTTCTTGAAGGGAAAAAAGTCAGATCTTACAGATAGTCGATTTGTGCATTCTTGCTTGTTATTTTATTATTGTCTGTTCGTCATAGGTTGATGAAAGCTTTTGCCCGCAACTTTCATTTGTCAGTCATGATAGTGATATTGCGCAGCTGGCTAGTTCCACCTCTGGTTCAGACTACAGGATTCTCAGTGTAATGTAGGTACGGCGGACTGAATTGAGAGAAATAAACTGGCTCACTGGCTTTGTGTTTTGGCAGTAGCTTGAGTAGATAGTTTTAGATCTAGATTTTCATATATTTTTCATTTTCATCCTCGCTTTGAAATTCTGATAGTAGGTTTCGTTGAAATGAAAGCAAATTCTCATCTTTGTTAGCTACAGTGATTAGCACATGGTCTGCTCGAACATGTTGTTGATTGTTAATGTACTGTTATCTGCAAAGCACGCTACTTGTGTATTCAGAAAAATAAACAAATGTTGAATGTGACATTTATTTTCCATTTGTTTGATTCAGAGTAGAACTTATATGATCATCATTGTTGTTTAATTCATTGTTCATACATTCATTGCCTTCACCATGAGTAATATTTCATGTCCATGCACCAGAAGAACCCTTGTCTTGTCTTTAATTTTCCTGTGTTTGCAGTCCAGCAAGGAACTACTTACTTGTTCTACCATGTTTCTTTTCTTGTTTTCCTGCTTATTTTCCCTTTTCACCTACATATAAAAGTAGAAAAGTCACCAGACTTCAGTATACATATATAATATTTTATATATACATAGTATTGTATATGTATATAACTCATTATTTAGGGAACGCCCCATGACCCTCTGGCAAGGACAGCTCTCAGGTGGGCGACAGATGGAACAAGAAAATGTGGATAAGCTAAGAAAACCTAGATAATAACAGCAGAAAGGAAAATGAAGGTATGTGAAATAACATGGGATAGCATAGGGGAAAAAAAACTAGCATACTGACAGCAATAGAGATCCTTGTGAATGATTTTTGTGTCAACATTAACATGATGATGATATACAGGTGTCATTATGTCATGATATGTAAAAAGTACTACACACGTATATACAAAACTCACCATACTGACATGCTGGACCGAACCAACCACTTGCACATGAGACTCCCTGAGTACACGATCCATCAACAAACTCACAAAAATCAAGTCGGCAGTGACACTTGTACTGGCAACTGGTCCCAAACCATCCCTTTTTGCAGACTAGTTGTTAGTTGCAACAGTGATCACAACAAAGATTTCAGATAATATATTCGATGACAAAAGCTCTATTGTTGTCCTATTATATAATTGTATATATATAACAGCTAGCTTGTTAGGTGGCATTACAGTAGTGAAGCTACTGAACTGTGGTTACAATAAAGTGTATTTCGCAATGACTAAGTAGTTATGAGTTCTTTAAGTATTCAGATAGTAATGTTTTCCAGGTGTATGCATGTGGGTGCCCATCATACCCAATTATGGCATTAGCTCATTCTACTACAGTTTACAATTGCTAAGCAGTTAAGTGATTTTCTAGTGCTCTGTGGTAAGCTTCATTTCAAGGACCTCATCGTCCAGTTCAGTTGAGTGCAGATTTTACAGGGATCCATAGGAATCATAGCTGGAGCTACAAAGTTTGTCGACACTCAGGAGATGGCTATATATACTGTGCAAAATGGCAGAGAAATGTGAGATAAACAAGGTGCAATGAAGTAGATCCTCTTACTGTTGTTCCTTAGCCCATTCTGACCAAGAATAGAAACCTGTTCTATCCTATACCAATGTGAACACCAAAAGGCATGTTGTAGATATGTTGAGAAATCTGTGCTTGGGTGAAAAGTATGATGGTGATGATTACGATGATGTTGATGGCGATAATACTGATGCTGATTTTGATGGTAGTGATAATACTGATACTGATGTTGGTGATAACACTGATACTGATTCTGATGGTGGTGATATTACTGATACTGATGGTGGTGATATTACTGATACTGATTCTGATGTTGGTGATAATACTGATACTAATTCTGATGATGGTGATAATACTGATACTCTTTCCAGTTAGTGACACCAAGTGTTAGCAGGTCTGTCAGGAAATTATCACTTCATCATCCTCTTGATCTGCCTCATGGTCTACAACCATTCATCTCCCTCGTGTATACAGTTTTACTTCTCTGTCATCTGACATTCCTTCAGTTTGCCCCAACCATTTCAGTCTATTAGCTCTCATGATGCCAGTTAGCAGTGGTGATTTTAACAGATTATGAATTTCGTTGTTGCTTTTCACTCTCCATTTACTGCTGTTTGTATCTTTGATGGGTCCAAAGATTCGTTTCAAGACTCTGTTTTTGAAAACCTGTAATAAGCTTTAGAGCCATATAAAACAACTGGTCTTTTCAACGTTTTATGTATTTTGATCTTTATGTTGAGAGACAGACAGTTTGACTTCAGCAGATGTTGAAGAGCATCATCATCATCATCAGGTGCCTTGCCAACTGGCGTGGGCGATCATGCCTCTCTATAATCCATGATCAACTGCAGCATGTAGTTGAAGAGCATAGTATACTTTATTTCCAGATAGTATTCAACATTGTATTTCTTCTCTCAGCATGTTGAAGAAGTTGAAGTTTGCACCCAAGCACTTATATGTTTCCGTTCGTTTGATTTTCATATTATCGACTTGCATGTGGATAGAGTTTTTATCCTTTTCCTGTCTAGTTATTATCATGTATTCTGTCTTATCGAAGCTTAGATATCTGTTTCATGATGAGATACAGTTTTATGAAGGTGGGGGAAGTCAGTCCCACGCTTCTGTTTCTGATGGTGGTGATAATAATGATGCTGATTCTTATAGTGGTGATAATACTGATGCTGATTCTTTTAATGAATACAGATCCTAATTCTGTTGATGGGGATAATGATGATGTTGGCACCTTCCATCTTTCCAGATGATAGTGTTAAATTGTGCTACAGGGAGTATAGACTATACAAAAGCATTTGACTGTGTGAAGCACGAAGAAGTAATCAAACTGTTAGAAAAATTAAACATTGATGGGAAAAATCTACGAATAATAAAGAATATGTATTGGCAGCAAACAGCAGCTATAAGAATTAACAACTGTTTAGGTACATTTCAAAGCATAAAGAGGGGCGTACAACAAGGATGTGTACTGTCACCTGATTTGTTTTCAATACACAGTGTATATATAATGAGATCTTTAATTGGTTTGCCTGGAATTGTGGTTGGTGGGCACAATATAAACAATTTATGTTATGCTGATGACACAGTGTTGATAGCAACAAGTCAGAAAGAATTACAGGAAATGATAGACATTGTGGTGTTAGAAAGTGGAAGAATGGGCCTCAGTTTGAATAATGGGAAGACAGAAGTAATGGTAGTATCAAAGAAACAAATTATTCCTAAATGTATAATAAAAGTCAATGGTGTTATTTTAGGACAAGTACAAAAATTTAAGTATCTGGGCACATGGATAACATCAGACGGAAGATGCATAACTGAAATAAGAAACAGAATTGGACACGCAAAAACTGCATTTTTATAAAATGAAAAACATCTTGTGCAATATATCCTTGTCATTGAGAGTTAGAATAAAAATTCTTGCTTGCTACATACATCCAGTTTTAACATATGGCTGTAATTCCTGGACAATCGGTAAGCAGGCCAAACAATTTTTAGAGGCCTCAGAGATGTGGTTTTACAGAAGAATGCCTAGAATACCTTGGAAAGCCAAAAAGAGCAACCAAGATGTTTTGAAAGAGGCGGGAGCCCGAAGACAACTTATCACAGACATCAGAAGGAGACAGTCATCATTTTTCGGCCATGTTATGAGAAGAGGGAAATTAGAACATGTTGTGACCACTGAAAAGATCTGTGGAAGGAGGGATAGAGGAAGACAACGAGAGAAGATGCTTGACAGTCTTGTTGCATGGCATGGAGGTGTATCGGCACACGAACTGATACATGCTGCAGGAGATCGCAGATTATGGAGATACACGATCGCCCACGCCAGTCGGCAAGGCACCTGATGATGATGATGATGACAGGGAGGCATCACAGCCTGTAGCGACAGTGAGTGTAACTATTAAGACCTACTCCACTTAAGAAAAAGTCTTCAACAATTAGAGTATGGGATTTGAGGACCACTGTTTCCATTGCATGTCTTTAGTAAGCTTTTTCTCAGATGGTCAGCACTCTGCCTATCTGCAATAATTCTCTCCTTTATTCACATTTATTTCCTAATTCCCACCCCCCCCCCCCCTCTTTTTTTCCATCTTGCAACACAGTCCATGGCATTTTTTTCCCATCAGTCCCCTCAATACATGTATTACTCATGTCCACTTATAAACATCTTTATATCACAGCAGAGGCCAACCTAGACATCTTCTACCCATCTGTAGTTCCTCTTAGAGGATGTCCTTAAAGACTCTACCATCCTCCATCCTTCAAGTTTGGCCTAGCCACTTGAACCTTCGGAGGCTTAATATTGAAAAAACTGTTGTGATACCTGCTCTTTCGGTACCTCAGCATTTGTGATCTTATCCTGTCACTTAATGCCATTCATTCTTCTTAGGCATCACAAGTGAAAGCTGTTCAGTCATTTATTCTGGTGGAAAAAAACAGTCAACTGTTTCACAGTCATACAGAAGAGTGGTTTTCTTCCTGTAGCCCAGCAATATCTGTTGAGTTCGGCATTAATGGCAGCTGTTTTTCTCACATTATTAAGATCAAAGGGATGATGGTGATGCTGTTATTACCTTCACTGCAACTTTCCCCTTGAAAGCCAGAAGGGCAGCCAGAAGGACATCCGCCGGTACTAACAAAGCAGGTCTCATTGCTGTCTGCACAGTTACATTTGTGTTCACAGTTCCGACCAAACCGGCCTGGCTCACACACAGAATCTGGGGACATGGAGCCAGTGTGTATAATCAGTTGAACATAATTTTGGGATACGCTGCATAATGTGTTTTTGATAGATACTTTAAATCACATGCTATTTACTGATAATCTATACACTGCATGGTTTGTGGATATAATAAATATTATAGTAAAGTAAATGACAAGATTGTTCAATATCATCATTACCTTTCATTTTTGCCTTAGGGATAAATGTTTTACCATCCAAGGCTAAATAGGTAGCATGTGAATGTATTTTGTCTTTAACACCATTCGTACATCTCTTTGGTCACCATGTTGCTCTCAGGTCACATCTTTCTAGGTGTGTCATTTGTGTGGGTAAGTATTGTGGAAGCATTCTAATAACATGATGAACCAATTTGATCTTCTGATTCTCAATAACTGGTGCAAGATGTTATTTCAAAGTATAATTTCTCACTCTTGTCTGATAGCATAATTTCTCACTCTGTCTTAGCTGGGTTTTTTTTTTTTTTTTCATCGGACACCGGCTGTGAATTCCAGTGGAAGGTCCCGGTTAATCGTCCGCTTGGACTTTTGGCCTTCACCTGGACCTGATTTTTGCGTGTACAACCGTTTTTAATTTCCCTGCCTCTTGGGCAGCTGTACGCCGACTTCGAAGGAAGACGTCAGGCCTATTTCTAGGGTGACTGTGGCCATTGTTTTGTGTGGGTCGAGACTGCCTGATTTGTGTGGTGTCCGCCTTGTCTCCTTCGCCGCAGGTATTGCCCCCGGAGTACCCCTTTGGGGCAACCCCCTGTGGAACAGTTGGCCCTCAAGGGAAGGCAGGGGCAGATCATGGGCATTCCCCGCCATCCAAGGAGGCTTCCATGCATGCAGAGCCGGCACATGGCGCTCTGGTTCTGGGCTCACCCAAGGAATCGTCACGTCCTGCAATGCCTGCTTAACCTCACAACCGTATCAGGCCTCCCGCTCGACAGGGGCTGCGCCCTCTGGAAGTCAGCGGGGAGCAGCCCGTTGGTTTTGGACTTTTGTGACCACACAGATAGGTACATTAGCCCGGCAGAATTTCACATCCTGAATCAGGCATATCGTTATCAGTTTTGTCCCAACACTCAGGCGAGTGGGGTCTTTGGGTATGGACATTCGGCCTTTTGCATTTCAGTGCAAATTTTGATGGTCAGATTTTGATCCGTATGATCTAGTTTTGTCGGACATTTAGGCTTAGCCATCCGATGGATGGTTGCTGTTGTGGTGTACCCCAGCGCGGTGACGACGACACTGAGGGTTAACCGAGGATGTACGTGACTGGCCAGCCTATGGATGGTTGCTGTTGTGGTGCACCTCAGCTCGGTGACGACGACACTGAGGGCCAACCGAGGATGCACAAGGATGGCCAGCCCATGTATGGTTTCTGTTGTGTTGCATCTCAGCGCGGTGACGACGACACTGAGAATTAACCGAGGATGAGCATTGAGCAATGTTCTCTTTACTCAGCAGTCTTTTAACCAAGGGTTGTGATTTTAGCTGTACTTTTGTCGAACCTACTCATGTTCCTAATGAGTTTTGATAACATTTTTCACCCAAGCGTTTGGGGGCGGGCTGGTGAGAGCCACAAGGACACATCACCTCTGGGGGCCGCCAAACTCCGAGATCCCCTGACAGCTCTGTTAATGCTCATTTGAGACATTATCCGTGGCGCACGACGAGGACGTGCTGTAGGGGTCTTGCGTGAGGTTCCGTACAACCAGGATAGTAAAGGACTGGCGCCCGAGTGACGTACGGAGTATCTCCTTATACACATCATGTTGGACTTAACTTCCCCTCACGCCTGTGACATAAATCACCGCGCCACTCTTAGCTGGTTAAATTGGCGATTTTCTTTAGGCATCTTGACTTACATATGTTACTTTTACATAGCTGAGTCTTCCCTAATGTTTACAGTCTGTTTCCTGGCTGTCATATTTATATCTGGATGGCTTAATAATGTAAATTAATTATCCGTTTTTATAAAATGCACTGGCCCTTTGACATCTTATTCATCCCTCCACAGCCTTTCTCCCTAATTTATTCTGCTGCCCTCAGAGAATATATTTCATAGATATTTAAATTATTTATCATACTTCAGCCAGTAAAAATATATACAACAGACTAGGAATTCTATTGACCTGCATTGTTTCAGTTTTAGTTGTATTTGTTATTTCATGTTAGATCTTCTGCAAATTAAATTTATAACCTATTAGAGTAGTCTTGTAGTCTTTTCTCCACCCCCAACCTCTCTCTCCTTTTCCTCCTTTATCCTGTCCCAAGAACAGACACTGATTTTTGCAAATAGTAGTTCAATTACTGTGAGTGGATATAACACCTTGAGACAATTATTGTGTGTGGATCTAATAACTTGAAACAATTATTGTGTGTGAATCTTATAACTTTAGACAATTATTGTGTCTGATTCTAATAACTTGAGACAATTATTGTAAGTGGATCTAATAACTTGAGACAATTATTGTAAGTAGATGTGATAACTTGAGACAATTTTTGTAAGTGGATCTAATCCTTCGACAAGACAGTTCCGGGCACTAATTACAAATTACTGTTTCCTGGGGTCAGTCCTATATGACTGATGGCTACAGTAATTTATATTAAAGATACAGTAATCAGTTGCTACTATGTCTGATTATAACTACAGCTCCATTAGTGGATGACCAAAGAACTCTGAAAGCTGATCTTGCTCAGTTGTATTAACTATTTTATACAAATTTTAGATTTGTTGCTCTAAACAGCCTTAACTTTTTTTTTAAATTAAATTACTGGCATGATAAATCAAACCTCAGTTACACATAAAATAAGCAATTACAGCATGGTCTACTGATCTATAGTGATCTTTCCAAGCCAGTATTAACTACCCAGCACCACCACATACTTGCACCTCACAGAGTGTGATAATGATAGTCAGCTATAATGATGATTATCACCATCGATGCCAGTTTTAACTACTCACCACCAAACACTTCCACCTCACAGAGAGTGACAATGGTCTGGCCATATCTGTCAGCCTTTTTGGCACGGATATCGACAGTCTGTATCTCTGTAGCCAGTGAGGTCACTGTGTAGACTTTCTGTTCAGTGGGTGCTGTGTCAACGAACTGAAACACTTTTGCTCCAGCTGGGTCATAACTTATCAGCTGAAACCCTTGTAGTCGCTCATCTACATGGACACCTGCAGAAGTGTGTTGTCATATATTTAGAGAGCTAGCACCATTGTTATTTGGGCGGACACACAGGTACTTAGTTCTTCTGAAATAATATTAAAAGATGTTGAATGCTATATTAGGAATTGACATCAGAGCACCTGAAACGCGCCAATAAGTGTTTCGTCCCCATCTTCAGCAGCAAACGAAGAGGTTTTTTTTTAACTTCCGATTCCGATATTGATAGGGAATGGATGACGGTTGAGAACTTGACTTATGTTGACCGTTCTCGTTGCCGTTTCTGCTCCAGTTTCAATGTTGCAAGACTGTGGAAGTCCGGTTTGCAGCCAGAGCTACTGAGTTTAGTGCTCCTGGTGGTACTATGAGTTGTGATTATTGGTTATTGACTGAGTTCCTTCTTCTTCTTCTTCTTCTTGTTCACCGGCTGTGAATTCCGGCAGTAAGTTGCGGTTGTTCATCCAAATGGACTTTTGGTTTTTACCTTGACCTGAGTTTTGCGTGTACATCCGTTTTACTGGCTTATTTGTTTGCAGTTCCCCGCCTCTCCGGCAGATGTACTCCGACTTCGAGGGAAGACGTCAAGCCTATTTCTAGGTTGACTGTGGCCATTGTTTTGTGTGGGTCGAGATGTTGCCTCATTTGTGTGGTGTCCTCTTTGACCTTTAACAGGTGTGGCCCCCAGAATATCCTCCTTAAGGCAGCCCTAGGTAGAGTTGTCAGCCCTCAAGGCAAGGCAGGAGCAGATCATGGGCATTCCCCGCCATCCAAAGAGTCTTCCATAAATGCAGAGCCGACACATGATGCTCTGGTTCTGGGCTCACCCAAGGAATCGCCACGTACTGCCCATGACTGCTTAACCTCTCAACCGTGTATTGAGCTTCCCGCGCTACAAGGCTGCGCTCTCCGGAGATCAGCGGGGAGCAGCCCGCAGGTCAAGGATTTTTTGGCCACACAAATAGGTACATTCTTTTCATCGTACGGTAGACACCTTGAACGTTGTTTCAGCTGTGCCCTTAGCACGACAGAGTGGGGAAGCAAAATGCGTCAGACGTGGCTTCACCTGTTTGGTCCCAACACTCGGGCGAGTGGGATTAGTGGATACAGACATTTGGACTTTTTCCTAATCGGTACGAATTATGATCATCGGACTTTGAGCTTGCATGTGTGCCGTTGGCTTTAACTTTGTCGGACATTATTTCCTAGTCAGCAGATAAAAAGCTGCTGCCGTGGTGTACCTCAGTAGGGTGACGACGACACTGAGGATTGACAGAGGATGTACGTAGGTAGGATCTTGCTGCGAGAAATCCCCCACAAGAGATGTTACTCGTCTTGGTGCGGGTAAATCTCTCGGTCAGGGTTGAGTCTCAGCAGCACAGTTTTCCATTCGCTCCCGAATTTTAACCGAGAGTTGTCATTTGATGGTACATTTGGCAAGCAATCCTTACTCATGTTCCGAATGAGTTTTGTTAGACTTTTCACCCATGCGTTTGGGCGCGGGCTGGTGAGAGCCAGAAAGGACACTACACCTCTAGGGGCCGCCAGCTCCGAAATCCCCTACCAACTCTGTTAATGCTCCTTTGAGACATTATCCGTGGTGCACGACGGGGACGTGCAGCAGGAGTCTTGCATGAGGTTCCGTAGAACCAGAACAGTGAAGGACTGGCGCCCGAGTGGGGTACGGAATATCTCCTTATACACATCACATCAGACTTAACATTCCCCTCATGCCTGTGACCGAAATCACCGCGCCACGACTGAGTTCCAGATTCGTACATAATAGCAATGATGGGTGGTGTATTTTTCTTCGTTGTGTACCTGGACAAGGCGTGTGCTATGGCTTCTATTTATTTGCTGGCCGTGGCTGCAACTTGGCCAAGGACATGTGGAGAATGGTCAGGAATAGTTTTAGTCTACTCATCGCCCAGCTATTCGTTGAATGAAGTTAATTTTCAGCGATGACGCCTGGTCTCGCAGTGTGTTTAAGGAGGCATGCACCTTATGGTTTGCCAGATACAATCGTGCGTGCTTTGCTGACTGAGGACACTTTGTATGGCTACAGCATTCACCTGAAGTATCTAGCGTATCTGACTCAGTTTGTGACTGGAATCACTGGCATAGACGGTTGAGCAATTATGGGCCAAGCTCATTTGCTGTGATGACGGAACCGTAACGACTAGCTAACTAACTATATAAAATACATACATGTCTTTAACTATTACTGATAATGTAGACATATCTTAAATTGTTTTATACGCTCACACACGCAGATACTCACACATGTACGCATGCACATGTACACACATACACATTCCTTCATGTGTTATAGATAATACAACAGACCTTTATCTGTGATTGATAATGTAGACATGTCCTAATGTGTTGGCCAGCTTATGGTGCAACCATGTGAGCTTTGGATTTCATTTGGAATGCTTGTCTGTACACTGGAGGTGAGTTGTAAACTGCATATCCTACAACTGCGAGTGACTGGTTGCCATAGAATTAGTGGTGTGCCTTATATAGTAATGCATGTGCACCGGCTGGTTTATAATGACTGCTGCTTCAATAAACTGGGAACTGTGGACTGTTAGTATTGGTGCTGACAACTTTGGTGCTTCCTCATACATCTGATGCATGTGTGAGCTGTTAGAATTTGCTGGGACTACTGTGCTTGAATTTTAACATGCGACAGTGAAGGGCATTTTGTGTGGTTGTCACTGGCACAGGAACGGAGCAATTATGGGATGGCCTGTTTGCAATGAATTTGGAACACCGATTGATAACTTCATGAATCAAAACAATGTTTTTCTGTTGCAAATATGAGCAAAGAAAACACACACACAATACATTATACCATTTACTGCCTGGCATATTTCGCTGTATCCCATAAGGTGCATACTACAGAAACAATTTAGCTTGGTGACAGAAAGTTTCTGAATGTAGTAGATTTTGTGTTTCAGCTCGAATGATTCATTTATTTGCTTCATTTTAATCAACTGTTGCTGCAGTATGCACCTATGAGATACAGTGAAATATCTTCTATATCCTCTTCATGTCGTTGTTGACACATAAGGCATTCACAAGTGATCTCCATTGCTGCCGGTCTGCTGCTTTTCTGTCCATGGTATCCCATGTCAGTTTACATTCCTTCATTTCCCGTTTTATTGTCCTTCTCCAGGTTTCCTTAGGTCATCCACGTCTACTTTTCCCATCTGCTGTCTGCCGGAGAGCTATTTTTGCCAGTGTCACAAACATATTTGTGACACTCAGGCAGTTGTGATAGTTAAATATGCCAGGCAATAAATTGGGCAATCTGTTGTTTGTCTTCTCCATTCAAGCTTCACAATAACAGAACCATGCCTCCCCCTATATTTTATAGATACTGCAAACATACCACATCTGTTATTGGTAATATACCTAAAATAAGTAAAGTAAAGGACCCTTTTCCACCTCTAAAGGCATATTGGGCATTTAGGGCAGACCTTAGGGGCTGCGTTAGCATAGTTGATAGGAGACTCACTTTCAAATCCAAATGTGATTTACTGCAGCACATGGCTGGTGTTCAAAACCAGGCGGTTCCCAGGCTTCACCCGCCCTCTAGGAAATGGATACCAGAGTTGACACTCTAAGTAAATGGAGGACCGTCGCTGTAGCTACAAAGTTGTGTGCAGACGGCGACACAGGCGGACAGTTTCTTATCAGTTGTCCGTACTGGTGGCAGAGCATTTATGGTTTATAACCGTGTGCAATGACGCTAGTTCACCTTTCCTGACTTTACTTTTACTTTTAGGGCAGACCTATATTTTATAAACCGATCAGCACTCGGTGGGTGATGTGGTCAACATCCCGCCAGTAGGTAATAAACATTTGTCTTAATTTGTAAAGACAATACATGACTTCATTAGTTATTTACAGCCCAGATATATGTTAATCTAATATGCACTTTCATTTCAACAGCCATTAATTATTTAAAAGGGTCAATTAAGAGGTAACACAAACATACCTTCATCTCTGTTGTAGATGACATATCTGTTGACTGATGCAGGCTGGTAAAATGTGACATTCCAGTTAGCTTCACGCTTTCCTTCGTCAGTGTGACTACAGGTGGCACTGTCATACCAATTACTGGCATCCCCATCAACAGCTTTTGATGCTTGTGAGTTTCTGACATCATAAATTGTAGACTGTGCTGCCTTTTGTTTGAGGGCAACATTTCGTCCTAGGAAGGAAACATTACAGTTGTTGTCACCTGATCATTATTGTTACCCAATGACGTCTCCATGCCGAAGGCTTGGCTCTAATGAGTCTCTGCTTGAACACAACTAACCTTAGTTAGTGAATGTGTTTAACAATTTTAAGATATGCATTACTAAAGTCTGGTTTTCATTGTGGACTTTTTTGGGGGGTTCAATTTCTCAAGGTTTTCAGTATTACAAGACCTGTGACATGGCCAAGATTGGGGCCATACCACGTAATATTCCCACAGACAGCACTTTGTGCAACATAGCCAACCTTCATCGCAGAGATGGCACAGAATTAAATAAAAGCACAGCAGCAGAGGTGTGGAATAAATAACACACCTTGTGTGGTAAAATGCTAGGCAAGAGAGAGAGACCACCCCCTCCCCAACCCTCTTCCCTCTAAAATGGACAAAGGTGTATGTTTTACAAGCTGGGCCCCAAAAAAATTAATTTAAGCAATAGCTTTCAGTGCCGAGGCACAGACAGATAATTAGGGTCTGGGGACAATGGCACTGCGAGGAGTTACAGTAGAATCTGGCTGATGCTGGGCACTCAGGGAAAAGGCGAGACGGATATACAGTTAGACAGTTACTGGTACCAGATTGGGATGAAGCGCTTATGGGAGTGTCCCGAGTACTGTGATGTCAGTTCTTAATTCAACATTCAACAGCTTCAGATTTTGAAGAAACAACTGGTAGGGGCTTTGGTGTGTGCTGTGTGGATAGTCATTTCGCAGCCTTGGAACATCTCATCTATCCAATGATTGGGTGACCTAAAGCTCTGCTTCCACTGTGTCTAAGCGACAGACTGTCTGTGGTGCACTATCTTATGGCAGTTTTGAGACATCTGAACCATTTGATATAAGCAAAAGAAACCTCATCAAAATATCAGATGACAGAAGTTAGAATAGTCATGATGGTCAGCTGGATTCCAGGCCCGGCAAATGAGACGGAATGGGATTTAAAAGGGTACAGCTCCCTGTGTGGGTTTTCGGGCCCCATTGTGGGGGAAAACAAGAGTAGATTCCTTCCTCCCCAACAAGCAGGTCATAAGAGTCGACTAACTGAGGACTTTATTCAAAGTGGGAGTGCATTTGTCTGCGCGGCAAGGAACAATCAATTGCACACAAATAAGCTAGTTAAATGGATGTACCTGCAAAACTCAGGCAATGGCACTGAGCCAAAGTCCAAATGGACAAACAATCAGGACTTTCTGCCGGAGCTTACAGCTGGTGAATGAAGAAGAAGAAGAACAGAGCATAGCACAAACATTAAATAGCAAATATGACAGCTTGCTGTAAGTTAATCCAGGTGCTGATGAACCAACCTAACATTCTTGGTGTTGCAAAGGGCAATGTTAGCAGCCAAGATGGTTCACTAGCTTGCCTGTCAAAACAGTTGTCTAAGACCAATCACTAGCAGAGGTAGGATTTATGTTTTACCAGTAGTGTTAGATTTAGATATAAACTAAATAAGCGACAGCTTAGGGTCTCACAGTCTGTAGGGGCCTCAGAAATGTAAAAACTTCAATGGGGACAGCTATGTAAAGAATTAAACTCTTAATTGGATAAGTATCCACAGAATGTCGATATTAACCTCACGAGTGCACTGAGGCATTTCTATGATTACATAAAGCGGACTTATTCTGGAAATAGAAGAAATTCAACACAAAGATATCTATCAAACCACCCATGTATGTGTGACTGTATGTGTGTTCCAAGCGGTATCTAGTGGCTCACCAGTGGCTGTCCTAAGGGTTTTAATTAATCAATCAATCAAGTAAACACCAATGTGTTTTCAAATTGTGCAGAGAATACTGGTTAAGAATGTTTCAATGCCATTGCAGAAGCAGAAGTAGGGGGAGCAGGAAGAGAAAGGGAAGATGAAGAGAGAAAGAGAAGAGGCAAAAAAAAGAAGAAAAAAATTGTGTTCTGCAGCAGTCATTAGTATATGGTGCTTGAAGTGATTTTCAACCAGCTGACAAACTGTTAACATTTAGAATCTGCTGACCTATCCTCACCTCCACTGATGAAGAAGGAGCACAGGGCTCGGACACTTTCACCTGTTAGGATCACTTGACTGACCATAATGTTCAAATCACAATGGATGTCTACAGCTGTATCAGAGACCTGTGCTGCCCTTTGGTTTTCACAAGCAAGAAGTGGAGAGTTGGTCTTTTCTCTGAATTGTATCTTCAATGTTCCTGGAACATCTGAAAACCATCATAAACAGACACTTTTACTGCAGACACAAAGTGTGACAAGACAATACCTTGTCTATCCCAAACACCTGTTGACTCAGTTCTATCTCCACCTGAATGTTGAATTAAGAATCGACATAAAAGCACTAGGGACATTCCCATAAGTGCTCCATCCCCCTCTGGAACAGCAAGCAAAGAGTTCCAACTCCAGTGACACCAGAAGCAGTAATTGTATATCCATCTTGCCTTTGCCTTGAATGCTGAGAATCAGCCAGGTCCCCTGGTAGCTCGTCACAACACTTTCCTCCTCAGACCGAAATGATGTATTTGTACCTCTTCATTGTTCATTTTCTCCCAGTGGACCCTTTCAATGTCAAGCTTGTCATATATCAATTCACCACCAAGTGGTTCTGAACCAGCCAGTCTATCTGCCTGTTTATTTCCCAAAACACTGGCATATCTGGAGAAAATATCCAAAGGACTACTAAGGTTAATGCATGTTTTGATATCGAATTACAGTATTAAACTATTGCCCACAATGAGTTTGTAGCATCTGGGATAGAATAGATTAGTGCACCAGATGGCTAGAACATGAGCACTTTTTAAAGTATCTCAGAACATTGAATGAGTTGCTTTCCCTGTGTGGGCTCTGTAGTCAGTTTTGGAGGTAAAATAGACCCAATGTCCTCTAACAAGCATGGTGTAAAAGGTGACTAAATAAGAGTTTGCTGAAACCAGAGCAGTGGGGTTGTAAGTAGGGCTGTACCGAATAGTGATTTTCACTATTCGGCCGAATATGAATAGCTGGACCAACTATTCGGCCGAATATGAATACGAACAGTGAATCATCATTATCAGGTGCCTTGCCGAATGGCATGGGCGATTATGCCTCGCCACAATCTGCGATCTCTTGCAGCATATATTAGTTTGTGTGCTGACACCCCTCCATGCCATGCAACAAGACTGTCAAGAATCTTCTCTACCCTTCAATTACAAAGATATTTTGCATAAGATGTTCTTCATTTTATAAAAATGCAGTTTTTGCCTGTCCTATTCTGTTTCTTATTTCAGTAATGCATCTTCCATCTGATGTTATCCATGTGCCCAGATACTTAAATTTCTGTACTTGTCCCAAAATAAAACCATTAACTTTCTTACACATTTAGGAATAATAATTTTCTTTGATACCACCATTACTTCTGTCTTCCCACTATTCAAACTGAGACCCATTCTTCCACTTTCGAATAGTGTATAAAATAGATCTTTAAAAAAAAAAAAACATTCATAATGTCAAATGTACACCCCAAAAATGTACATCACAAAATATAGTAGAGAATAGTGAACATTTAAAAACATTTCATGTTTTGCATCCTTCAGTCAGTCAGTCTGTGGTAACTAATACCTAGGAATTAAAGTATTCTTAGTTTTATAACAAGTAACTAAACTTTTAAATTGTCACAGACAGCTTAGTTAATCCATGAAAGCAGCATTAGCTTTAAAAAAAAAAAAAACTTATCGTTCCATGTTGTCAGCATTAAGGCAGCTTCTTGTCCCACTGAAGGTATTTCCAGCTGCACTAAACAGGCGTTCACTAGGTACGCACGTAGGTGGTGCACAAAGATAACGCTTGACAGTATGAACCAAGGTGGAAAATCTTGATATATTTTTTTACCACCAGTCCAGAAACGGGTAGCCACTATTCGTATTCGTCCCGACCGCAACTATTCGGCCAAATACCAAATAGTTATTAGGTCCACTATTCGGCCCCGAAGCGAATACAAAGCGAATATTCGGTACAGCCCTAGTTGTAAGGCACAGAAATTGCAGCCTAGCTGTAAACCACAGCACAGTGTGTGAGCTGCTCTCAAAAGGGTGAATGCAGAAGAATAAGAATGAGTTGTCTGGGGTACAGAACCAATCTGGTTCACACAAAAGTTAGCTGTGTATCCTTTACAGGACTTTGCAAAACCACATTTTTTTTTTTAATTTCTCAAGGTTTTCAGTAATACAAGACCTGTGACATGGCCAAGATTGGGGCCATACCACTTAATATTCCCACAGACAGCAGTTTGTGCAACATAGCCAACCTTCATCGCAGAGATGGCACAGAATTAACTTAAAGCATAGCAGCAGAGGTGTGAAAGAAATAACACACTTTATGTGGTAAAATGCTAGGCAAGAGAGAGACCACCCCCTTCCCCCACCCCAAAAAAAATTGTACAAAGGTCTCCCCCCCCCCCCCCCCCCCCCCCATAAACAAATGGACAAAGGTGTCTGTTTTACTTAGCTGGGCAAAAAAATAATTTAAGCATTAGCTTTCTTATTCTTCTTTTCTCCAGTTATGTTCCGTCTTTCTCCAGCATTTGTTTGGCTGTAGATGTTTTTCTAGACACATTTTTGTGTGGTAGATTGTCATTGCCACTGAACGGTTGGCTCCTGGTACCACTGTTGAAACCAATGCAGGACAGTCTACCGCTAAATCGCCTGCAGCTGGGATCAAACCCAGCATTATGAAGCGTGTTTGCAAAGCATAAGAAACAGATGGTGATAAGTTTGCTTAAACATGACTATAACATGACCGGCTGTCCCAGTTCATTAATGGCTTTTCATATATTAATATTCACTTTACAGATGCATACTCACAGTGATATCTAGAGTGTTCTGTTTTACTTTGAGAAATAAATTCACAGTTACTTACTGGCATGTTAGAGTTAGAAGAAAGGAGAGAAAGACTTGGTGGTGAACTGATGTATGACAAGCTGGAAATTGTGAAGGCTCTTTGGGAGCGAGTGAACAGTGCCGAGGCACAGATAGATCATTACGGTCTGAGGAGAATGGCACTGCGAGGTGTTGCAAGGGGATCTGGCCGACGCTCGATACTCAGGGGAAAGGCGAGACGGACATACAAATATGACAGTTGGTACCATCAAAATTTCAACTCTTCCCTTGCTGCTGAAGATGCGGATGGAGCACTTATGGGGATGTACCGAGTGCTGTGATGTTGATTCTTAATTCAACATTCAACATTCAAGAGACTGAATGACATGCTACAAAAGACAATACAGTTATTAAAAGCTATGAGGAAACCAGACTTAGATTGACTGCAAAACTGTCACCTCCAAATGAGTGCTGACTGCAGTGGGTTTAATTCTTATACTTTTTAAAGGACCAATGTTTTCTTTGTGTCTGTGCCTCGGCAGTAACAGAGTTTGAAACAGTATTTTCTCTTGTTATTCTTCTGTAAAGTGTTGCCAAAATATTTTGTAATTTAAGTTTTTTAGCATTAATTGTGACTTTATACTTACCAGAGTTCAAGGAAGAAGGAGAATTTTGATTTAAGAGCAATCTCTAATGGTCTATGTGACACTGACCATAAAATAGTTGTGTTAACAGCAAAACATCTTACATTAAAGAAACACAGAAAGAAATTAACCAAAAACAAGGATCTCATCAAGATAGCAAATCTGAAACAGGAAGGAGTAAAAGAACAGTTACAACAGAAAGTAGAAACAGCATTCAAACAACTTCCACATGTAGTTGGCAATATTGAAGAAGAATGGAGTAAATATAAAAATACTATGCTTAGTATTGCAGAAGAATTATGTGGAAAACGGAAGAGTGGAAACAGACAGGAAAATAACAAATATTCACCTTGGTGGTGCGAAGAAGTAAAAGAAGCAATTAAAAAGAAAAAGGACTATATAAACAGTGGATAAAATCAAAGAAAGAAGAAGATTATATAAACTATAGACTACAAAGGAGAGAAACCAACAGGAGTGTCAAGAAAGCAAAACAAGCATCTTGGGAACGTTTCGGTGAATCATTAGCAGAAAATGAGAAAACAGCCAGCAGAAAATTTTTCAAAGTATTTAAAAATATGTGGAAAAGAGATGAGAGCTACAACCCAACTGAAATAATTAATGATAAGACAGGAAGGCCATTGATAGATCCACCCGAGATAGCAGAAAGATGGAGGGAATACTTCAATGAGCTCTTTAATCCTCTAGGAGATCATCAGAAAAGAACAACTGAAGAGCACAGAGCAACAGTGTTAGAACCACACATACTAATGGATGAAATAGAAAAAGTCATTAAGCAGTTTCCCAAATATAAAGCACCAGGAGCTGATAGATTACCAACAGAAATAATTAAAACAGCAGGTGAAAGCAGCATGAGATGGCTTCACAGAATATTTAATGCAGCATGGGTACAACAAACTGCCCCTATTGATTGGCAACATGCAATAGTTATACCATTGTGGAAGAACAAAGGAAGCAAACGAGAATGCGGTCAATACAGAGGCATCTCTCTCTTAAGCCATGTTGGCAAAATGTATGCCAAGATAATAGAAACAAGACTGAGACCAGTAATAGAACCACAGCTGGGAGAAGAACAGATGGGATTTAGGAGAAACAGAAGCTGCACAGATGCAATCTTCACACTTAAACAGTTAATAGAAAAGAACATTGAATACAATAAGAACTTATTTGTGGCATTCGTAGACCAGGAGAAGGCATTTGACAAAGTTGACAGACAATTATTATGGAAAGTAATGGCAAGATATGGAGTAAGCGAACACCTCATCGAAGTATGCAAATGTTTATACAGGGATTGTAGAAGTTAGTTAGAATAAATCAGAGAACATCTCATCCATTCACAGTAACATCTGCAGTAAGACAGGGGTGTATCTTATCACCACTGCTGTTTATCACCTACATCGACAGTATATGCAAGAATGCCAAGCCCATGAATGAAGATCTTAGTAAGATCAACGAATTACTCTTTGCAGATGACCAGGCCTTGATAGCAGATACAGCAATGAAATTGCAACAACATCTAACATCCATGAATGAAGAATGTAAAACAAATAATATGAGAATTAACACTGAAAAGACAGAAGTAATGTCAATAGGAAAAAAGAAGACAGATCTAAACACAGCAATAGAGAACAAAGGCATTAAACAGGCATCTGAGTTTAAATATCTGGGAACTACATTTACCGAAGATGGGAAATTGGATAAAGAAATGAACATTAGATGCAGTAAAGCAAACCAAGTATTGGGACAGCTAGCTACCCTCTTATAGCATAAGACAATCCCAGTCAGCACAAAGAGACATCTTATTCAAAGCATATTTATTCCAACTCTGTGCTACCAGTGCCAGACATGGTCACTCACAACAAACCATAAAAGAAAATTAGTAACCATGGAAATGAGATGTCTGGGAAGGGCTGTAGGAGTGACCATAAGAGATAAGATCAGGAATAAGATCATAAGAACAAGTCGGCACAGAACCAATTCTAAATTACATACAAAGACAGCAAGTGAAATGGTTTGCCCACTTAGAGAGAATGCCTTGTGACACCATACCATACAAAGCATACATGGAAAGAGAAGAAGGTCGTAGAGCAAGAGGTAGACCAAGAACAAATGGAAGGATAACATCAGAGAATCTCTACAACAGCACGATGTGCCTATGGTCGAGGCGGCCAGAAGAGCCAGAAACAGAACCTTATATCTCCCTCGACACCCACAGCGGTAAAAGAGGAAGTGAAGAAGAAGAGAAGAAGAAGAATTGTGAATTACTGTCCTATGTGCCTTATAAAATTATCTGCCAACTTCAAATAACTTTAAATAGCGGCCCAGGATCTGAGACATTGTCATCGTCATCTTCTTTTTCCCCTTCTTACCTTCCTCTGCTTACCTTGTGTTAGGGAGAGATTTAGGGATCTTCTGTGTACTCTTTATAATGCATTATACAAGTTGATACCAGGTGCTTTTTTAATATCCTTCCCCAAGAAGGGTAAATCCAGAGGTCACAAAATATTCTAATATTTCAGAGGGTGGTACATAGGCTGCATGCAATCGTAGTACCTAGGCTGCACTCTCACGTAGATGGGTTGGGGTTAGGGCCAGTTCTAAATATTTTAGGGTCAATTAAAGCATCAGAAAGCTGGGAAACCCAGTTTTACCACCCTCTAAAGTGTTGAACTTTCCTGACATAATCTGGGATAAGATATTAGTAAAGAACCTTTTTTTTCAGATGGCCAAATCATCTCATATGTTGCATTTAATAAATGGGATAACAGGCTTCAGACCTCATTTGGGGGGGGGGGGGGGAGGGGGGGGCAAATTCTTAAGTTTTTATTTAATCTCTTCTTTTTATTTTAACAGCTCTCCTAAGACATCTCACCTTAATTGTAACTATTAACATGCCTCATAAAAGAAAAACTTTCATTTATATACTTTCCCCCACACATCTACATCTCTCTCTCCCCTCTCTCTCCTCCCTCCCCCTAAGGCAGAATGACAGAAGACTAGAAATCAATTCGTAAATGTTCACACACTAAAACTTACAAGAGTCCCTCACATGTGCTCGAAACCATGACAGTTGAAATGGCTCCAACAAGGACAGCGTGACTTCATTCGCATTCAGACATGTGTTCTCATTTCCGTCTAGGATTAGATTTACTGGCAGCCGAGGATCAGATGCTTTGTATCGTTGGGCCAGGTCAACTGTAGACAAAGAGGAATAGTTGATGACGAACTTATCTGTTTCATTGTACAGGGGACATACTGGAAATTTTAGTCCTTCTAGCTGGTTGGTTGGTGAATCCTTTGGTAGAGTGAGTTTTAACTCTGACTGTTACCCATCTAACAATCTCTTTATCCATCCATCCTGCCTTCCATTAAATCATTCATCTATCATTCCATCCAACCATCTACACATCTATCAATTCATCACTCCAGCTATTCACCCCTCTATCCCTCATCCTCTATTCTAATATATAACTTATATAAGTCTAGTGTCTTATCACTCTATTTTATCACTTTTATATATTTCTACTATATAACATGTATACTTTCTATCCCCCACCACCAAGCCACCGCCCACTCATCCATCCGACTATCCAACCATCTATCCACTGACCCCTCCATTCATCTGTAAGCTCACTCATCCATCCACCCATCTCCAGCTGTTCCTGCTATAGTATATTTATAGTTGTTTGTTTCATTGTTTTTGTTTTTATCTCTCAGTGTGGTAGACGTAGAAACTATTCTCCTGGCCAAATTAATATCTCGGCATGAACTTATATGCAGAGCTCTTCTCCTTCCTCTATGAAAGCTTAGCCACAGGATGTGCGAGGCTGGTGTTGGAAATTTGAGTGATCGATCAGTTTCTTCCCTCCTGTCAGCTACTTAAAGGTTTACCATACCATCATACAATTTTTAGAAAATCTCATCTGGATGGCAGACAAGCAAGACACATCCCTGATACCCTGTTCAACTTACAAAGAAGTTATAATAAGAGCATCTGTAATGGCTACACTAGCCAGGTGTAACCTGCAGTACTCTTTGGGTAAAGACCACAGTTCACATCTGTAGAGAGACAGGTATATTACTAGGTCATGATTTAACACAGCACATAGTAACTAGCTGAGAGCCACTGTGGTCTACTGGCTAGAGGCTCGGCTGCAGATCAGAAGGTCGTGGGTTCAGTTCCTGACAGGGGTCGGATTTTTTTTTTTTTTTAAATGACCTTTGCTCTCAGGTAGACCCAGCCTTGAGTGGGTACGATGTACAGTCCCAGAGTGATACTGACCCCCTTACCCACTAAGTGCCTTTGGTCTATAAAATATAGGTCTAGCCCAATATACCCAATACTAAAAGGCGTGGAAAAGGGTCCATTTTATAGTAACTAGCTGAAATTAGGCCTAGACTGATGTTTCTTCTATTTCAGGCATTTCTAAGGGTCTAAGGGGAAAAGGAGGGGGGGGGGGGTGCGAAGAGCTGTAGGCATTTTATTATCAAGCTTCCGTTTCAATGCTTAAAGAAAACACAACGTTTCTAGCGGGGGAACTTCGAGGAAGTGCAGACTCTCAGGCACTAAACCATGTGAGATTAAGCTATAATGAAAAAATCAGTGGCGTCATTTGCCACAGTTTACCATATTCCCTATACTCGCTGAACAAAGAAACAATTTCCTTTAACGGGTATTTGAATTCGCAAGCGCACGTAAACACACACAAGCATGGATGCACGCGCGCACACACACACACATACATTTACACACATGCGCGCGCCCACGCGCTCACACCGCACGCGCACACATTCACATACATCAACGCACGCAGAAACAGACACACGTCCTGAAGGTATGAATAGCTGATAACACGTCATGTTTAAACAAGGGGCGCCATAGAGTTTGTTTGAGAAAAATATATAGATGGGATTCCAAAACACAGTTGTTGAATAAAGACATGTCAAAGCATACTTTGCTTTTCCCAGTCTAGTTTAACTATCCGTCAATAACACGTTAAAAAGACACAGACGTGTGGTCGCTTCATTGTATCCTTGCCCGCACCGGCCTGCAAGGTAACCGTTAGCCATTACCATGCCGCAATACAATCTTCTTGAAGACAGAACAAGGTATCTAGACTTTGCCTGCACAGATAACCAGTCTTAACACCCCTAAAATATTGGACTGTACCAGATGTTTTGGATTTCCCAATGGTGACCAAAAATAAGAACCCTTTGTCCTGTTGGTTTGCCATCCAGAATAACTTTCTTATGGTCTCAGATGTGGTTTAACCTTCAAGTAGATAGCAGTTTTTTTGTTTTTTTTGTTAATCAAATAGTATAGTTTCCTCTCTTTAGCCCTACGTTTCTGGAAGTTTAGGGGCCGCGTTAGCGCCGTCGATAGGGAACTCTTTTAAATCCAATTGCGACTCGCTGCAGTCAACAGCCAGTGTTCGAAACCGGGCTTTTCCCGGGGTTCACCTAGCCTCTAGGAAATGGGTACCAGAGTTAATACTCTGGATTAAATTGCGGAATGTCACTGTAGCTACTGAGTTTCGACGGAGACACAGTCGGACAGTTTCTTATCAGCTGTCCGTACTTGTGGCAGAGCACTTAGGTTTAAAACCGTGTGCAGCTGGTTCACATCTCCGGACTTTACCTTTTTATTTCTGGGAAGATCAGAAAACACTATATTACAATACTCATCTACAATGATCTATCTGGCCCTAGAGTCGATTTATTTAATATATCAATCATCTTCTTCTTTTATCCTACAGATTATGTCAAAAAGCGCTGCAGAGAGTTGTATTTGTATGTATGTAGTTTGCTGTCTTCTGCTGCTTGTGTGCATGTGTTAATGTCATACTGCGTTGCTGTAGTGACTCTTCTACTCCCTCCACCCCTCTCTTTCTTTCTTTTTCGGCCTCGAATTCGTATCCTGCTGTTTCGGGCTACCAATACTGGATTTTTTCTTTCTGATCTGCAATTTTTTTTTTTTTTTTTTACTAAAATGACGCCTAGGGTTACGATTTTGGAATCTTTTTCGTAACTATAAAATGTATACTTTAAAAAAAAAAAATCATTCTTGGGTATTGTTTTTTCTTTGCTTATGTATGCTTAGTTTTTTGGTCAGCTTAGCTTGGGTTTAATACCTTTGGCCACACTACCTACTGCTGCTCTTGTGTAGTTCGCTCTAACTGCTGGCTGATTTTGTTTCATTCTGACCAGACGACCATACTAAACCATTATTTTATGTTCCATGAAATTAATACAATAATATAGGAACATGTTATTAAAGCAAAGACTTACACAGCTGGAAAAGAGCGTCTGGGATTTGGATTAAGCTCCTGTCTAACCTAGCTGCCATAACGACCCCTTCCAGCTGACGTTGTTCTTTCTTGTCTGTTGACCACTAGCAGACGACAGGCTCAATGCCGTAATGATACGACACACATTGTTTGTGACGTAGTACTCCAGATGTCATGAATTATTGATTATTATTGCCATCAGTTTTGCAGCTTTTATATGTCCGTCTATCGAGGCATCTCTCTTTTAAGTCATGTTAAACAGGTAATAGAAAAGAACATGGAATATGGTCAGAACTTATTTGTAGCATTTGTAGACCGGGAGAAAACTGTGGACAGGGTCGACATATATAAAAAAAAATAATTATGTAAAGTAATGGCTCGATATGTAATAAGTGAACACCTCATTGAAGTTTACAAAAGCTTATATAGAGATTGTTTGAGTAGTTAGAATAAATCAGGGAACATTACATTATTCAGTGAAACATCTGGAGTAAGACAGGGATGTGTCTTATCATCACTCCTATTTATCACCTACACTGACAGTTTTAGCAGGGGTGCCAGGCACATGAACGAAATTAATAGTAACATCAACGAATTACTCTTTGCTGACGACCAGTCCTCGACTACAGATACGGCTGTGCATTTGCAACATCTTCACCATCCATGAATGAAGAATGTAAATAAAAAAAATATGAGAATCGACGCCGAAAAGACAGAAGTAATGTCAGTAGGAAGAAACAAGCAGAATTTAAATATAGCATCAGAGCATATATATATTGAACAGGCATCTGAGTTTAAATATCTTGGAACAACATTCACTGAAGATAGTAAATTTGACGAAGAAATTGGCATTCGATGCAGTAAAGCCAGCCAAGTATTAGGACAACCCCCCCCCCCCCGCCCCCCTTTTTCCTTTTTCTTACAGCATATGGCAATCCCAATCAGCACAAAGAAACATCTCACAAAGCATATTTATTCCCACTCTATGCTGTTAGTGCCAGACATGGTCACTCACAACAAAACATTTTTTTTTAAATTAGTAACTATGGAAATGAGGTATCTAAGAAAGACTAGGAGTGACCAGAAGAGATAAAATCACGAATAAGCTAATAGGAGACAAAGTCGGCACAGAACCAATTCTAAATTACACAAAGACAACAAATCAAATTGTTTTCCCACTTGGAGAGAATGCCTGTTGATGTTATACCATACAAATACAAGGTATATAACAAAAGAGGAGAGGGACGTAAAGCAACATGTTGACCAAGAACAATATGAGAAGATATCATAAGAAAAACTCTACAGCAATACGATGTGTCTATGGTCGAAGCAGCCAGAAGAGCACGAAGCAGGACCTTATATCTCACTCAAAACCCTTGACCCGTTACGGTCGTGGAGGTGTATCAATGGAAACACTAGCACATAAAACCCACCATCTTTCTCTGTCTTCCGCTTGACCAATAAGTGTATGATAACATAGTCCTGTCTATTTTTTGATGTTTTCATTCCAGTTTCTTCTTTGCCCTCCTCTTCTTCGACTACCCCCCCCCCCCCTCAATGTTCCTTAAAGTAAAGTCTTTGCAATCGAATGATGTCTCACCAAGTGCCCGAATCAAGCTAGCTTGCGATGTTTTACAACTGCCTATAGAGGCTCCGGGTGTTCCGCAAATTTGTTTGTTTTGTTTATGACACCCTGTTATACCACATGATTGATATCTGTTTGGCTTTTGTTGCAACTTTTACTTATGCATTTTCATGTTGTATACACTCAGGTCCTTCTGTATATAAATAAAGAAGGCCGTGTATACACTGTATAATGGTGCGTCAGTTGCAGAAGCATTGCGAGTCCGACTCGTAATTCCAACGTACCGCAGTCGAAACCCAATGCTGGCTGCACGGATGTTAATTATGGTGTGATAGGCTGGAGAACGATAAAGACTGCTATTCAGCAGCTTGACGATTTTAGTTTGTTTGGTGGATACTCTGGTTTACAAATCCGGAAAAAAAAAAACTGGCCAGCCATCAGTTAATAAAAGACCGGGCTTAGTCTTTTAACAGCTTTAACAGTTCGATGACTGCCTTTGGTCGAGCAAGACGTTGAACGCCCAAGCCCGCCCCGCCTCACCACGTCGCCCGCTAACTATCCATTCGTTGCCTGATTTTCGATAGCTAGCTACTGGACAGATTCGCTTGATATTCGGCTGAGTCTGTCTCGACTAAGCTATCGGGGTCGGCTGCGTTTGGGTCATTAGTAGCCCGTGTACGCACCTAGCCAAACGATAACAACCAGAAACAGAGATCTACACAGGTGACCAGTGTATCAAAGAATCACCAGAGGAAGGAACTACGCCCTAGGTAATTTTAATCTACATTATAAACCTTTTTAAACCGAAACCTAGGGCGTGCGTTTAACCTCTAAATAAATTCGAGAACTTTTACAATTACCGTAGAAAATGGAAACTGCGCCCATAACGGCTGAAACTCCAGGATCACCAGCACAGAGGGCCGCTCCCCCGGGAGCCGACCTTTCAGTAGCGCATGAAGCCGTCTCGGTAGCGACGCAAGGACCTCCTCGCCTACGAAAGCAGCGGCAGCCTGAGACCAACACACCAGACATCATGCAGTGCTCACGCTGCAAAAGGGCGTGGCATACAGCCTCGTCCTGCCGCAGCAGCCTATCGTGCAGATACTGTTCTGGTGCGCACGAATTCAAGGAGTGCCCGCTGGCTAAAATTAACACCAACTTCAAGAAGCCGAACAGCAACCGCAAGTGCTCTAACTGTTCCGGCGCACACGGCGCGAGATACATGGGCTGCCCGTATCTCCAGCAGTGCAAGAAGTCACTAAGAACCGCCCACGAAACAGCTAGAAAGAGATACGTGGCACCCAGGTCCTCAGTAACACCAAAGCAACCAAGTGGGAAGTCAGCACATAGCACATCAGAGAAACGAACCGATAAGGCGATCACAACCACAAAGGACCCTGAAATCTTGCTTAAAATCTCTGAAATTTCTGAAATTTTAGCCGAAATTAGAGCTCTCCACAAAGAAAAGTCTGACGCTGCAGATACCACCGCTGACAAAACCCAGTTGCTAGACCTGATATCGCAGATGCGTGATGAAATAAAAACCTTGAAAGAAGACAGACAAGAACAAGTCTCGCAGCAAACAAAGTGGCTAGCAGAGGCTGCACAAATGCAGAAAAACCTGACAGAAATGACCTTAAATCTCCAAGCAGAAAAAGCAGCAGACGAGACCCGCCGACAAGAAGAAAGGGAGGAGAGAAGAAAGGAAACCGAAGCACTCAAGGAAGCCCGAGAAAGCACTTATAAAGAAGTCACCCTTATGATCCAAGCAAAGACAGAAGCTGAAGCTGCAGTGTTGGCGGCAAGAACGGAGCGTGCCCTGCTAGAGAAAGAAAGAGAGGCCTACATCAAAGTTGTAAAACAACCAAGTACCAGCAAGGCCGACAAAAGCACAGTTACCGAAGCGGTAATGATGCAGCACCAGGAACAGATGACAGATTCCCCTGAAAACGAAGAACCAAGCGACGAAACAGACACCAGGTAGCCAGTCACCCCACGCAGCAGCCTGAAGCAGCATCTGACGCAACCTGCGAACCCGACCTTATGGCAATGCTTGAAGAATACAACGAGCAAGTGGACCCGCACAAGCTGGTGTATTGCGACGAAATCAAGCGCTACTGTATCCAATACAAATGGGAAGTGCTCGAGAATAAAGTCAAAACTCCAGAAGAAATAGAAATGCGCGAACTAGTTGACAAACTCCATGGCGAACTTAATGCGGCCATGATCCAAATTTGCAAGAGAAAGCAGTGGGAAAATGGCACAACGAACAGAAGAGGCTACCGCCAATTCTAAGAGCCACAGGAGAAGCCCACCAAACAAGCCGCCATCTTCACGGACAGCCCAAAACAAACAACCACCAACCAGACAGACAGTCGCCGCACCAGAGCCGCACCCACCCGCTCCGCCCCACTGGCAAATAACCATGTAATCACCATAGAGCTAACCAAAATTTTGAACCTAGTATATTTTCAGGAAAAAGAAGACCACGGAAACTACCACAGGCCACCCGACGCTCCGAAGCAGATAGCCGAGGGCATTGCACCTAAGGGGACTAGCACTTGGGAATTCCAGTCTCCATCATGCCACCCCACCCCACCCCACATGTATCTTAACAAATGCCTTTCACTTTTATTTCAGACCAAGTGACCTCAACCGACCAGGGTGGATCCTACCTCTATTTGTCACTCTCATTCTCCCGACCTAACTATCACATCTGGCACATTCGAGCAAATTAGATCTCTCATTTGCAGCCTATCTTACTTCCACTACTCCTCCACACTCCGTGAAAAAAAAGGGGGAAAAAAAACGAGCTGATCACAACAACAGATTGTGACGGCCCTGGTTGTCCTGAAAAGGAACATTGTTTATGACGACGTGGACCGATGTTTGGCTTTTTCCGGCGGCTTACAGAACGGCAACCAAGCAGCAACAGGGCACCAGCACAGCGACCAGCACGAAGCAAGCCAAGCACCAGCAACAGTCAGCTAATACCCGTAGATACCATCACAAAGAGATCTGGACCACACCAGACCAAAAGACCACATGCAGCACAGCAAGGACGCAAACAACCGTAATATCAGGTGTGACTATACACCACAAATAAAAGGAAACCATATAAGACAGCTAAGGAACCTTCCTCGATATAGCAGGCCTCAGGGCGGCTAAAACAAGGATCAAATTTGAAATCTGTGTTAGACGAATTGGAATTGGAATTTTAACAGTCTATTTGACATCCGGACGCACCCCGTGGAGACCGACCCAGCTGTTGTAGCTCTGCGTATTGGGCTAGCCAGCATGGGTATGGGCGACTGCAGGGGAAGATCGGTTGTCAAACTGATTTCGCGGTGGTGGTATGTTTCCATATTTAGTCCAGAAATAATAGTCTCTAGTTGTTATACGGTGTAATTTATCGGGGTGTCTTCTCGCTATAAGTGATCTGTTGGTCTGTGGCATACTGAAGCTTAACGTACATGTTAAATATGTTTCGGTTTTTTGCTTTTGTTCAGGTAATCTCGCTGAGTGTATGGTGTCATTATTATATTTCCTTGTTAGCTGGAGATGATTAGCACTTTAGATTCTGGTCGAGCACGTCGGTTGTTGTTAATGTTGTTATTTGTGAACCACGCTGATTTTATATTAAGTGAAATAAACATATGTTCAATTTTGGTAATCATAGTTCCAGTTGTTTTTTGGTTCAGATTAGGACTTGTGGTTAGTGTGCCTAGTTTATTCCTTGTTACTGCTGATCTAGACTGTACACAGAAGATTTCTTGTCTAGGCTAGAATATTTGTGTTCTATATTTCTAGTTCCCATCTAACGAACTAGTTTCCTTTTTTTTTCTTCGTACTTCGAGCTTTTCGAGCAATGGTATGGGACGTCGCAGGTCGACCCAGCCTAAAATGGGTACCAGGGTGTATGTCCTGGGGAAGTAAAGACGGCCGGCGTAATGCCGACCCCATTACGCCGATTGGTTTGTAAAGATATGTGAGTTCTTCCCATATGACCAATACACCTAAAGGCATGAAAAGGGGTCTTTAGTTTACTTATACACTGTATAAAGAGACATCCTAGACAGCTATGATATTCACATTGTGTATCCGTGACCTTCGGTGCATCAGTCTGTAACTGAAATCATTTCACAGATTTTCAAAAAGAATGATTAAACTTACCGTACTGACACGCTGGACCGAACCATTCAGGCTGGCAGGTGGCACCGCCGTAGCAGGTTCCTTCTGGTTGTTCACATTTGTTCTCGGTGCAGCGGCACTTGTATTCGCATCTCAAGCCGAACCATCCACCTGGACACACTGAACAGAATATAACAGGGGTTATACGCAAATGAGAGTGGTGTAGTGGCTAGACACTGCACTGTGGATCCGGAGGTCGCGGGTTCAGATCCGCAAAGCGCCAGATTTTTCACAGACATGATCTTGGTTCCCAGGTCGACCCAGTCTAAAATAGGTATCAGCTAGTCCTGGCAAGTAAGGGCGGCCGGCATGATGCTGACCACATCAACCAACAAATATGAGTCTAGCCTTATGCGACCAATGCTCCAATAGTGTATAAAGGAACCTATTACATGCAACTTTGTGTCTTTAGTGTTACCTAATGCAACAGCCCTGCGGGGAAGGTTGTGGCCTGTTATAAGTTTTTTGATTTTGCAGCCTTTGGCTGCAGCTGCCCCAGAGGCAAGAAGCCCTTTGTATCTGCCGCCAAACTGTACACGGCTGAGGCGCGCGGAATAGGTACAGATGGAATAACGGTACTATCTGGTCGCTTGCCAGCTAATAGTTGTCAGTAGTTTGTTACTCTGTAGTTTACCAGTTGTTCGCAGTTTAAGTTTGTTGCTAGTCTATTAATAGGTTTTTTGCGCCCCCCCCCCTCCCCCCCAGGAAAAAGAAGCCACAGACAAGAAACGTATAAATATAAAACGTCGTAGTTTTCATTCTCTGGAATAGTCCAGCAAGTAGCACAACTTAGAAATAATCACGCAAGTGAGCGATGCAAACACGAGAAAAAATACACCAGTTAAGGTGTTGAAAAAAAAAAGGAATGCATGACACTCTCACAACATAGGATAGGCCATGCAACACACCACGGCATGAATAGAAAGGGAAGGAACTCTCGCCGTGCGTGATAAGTACCCACATTTTTTTATAAAAAATGTTATTGTTTATTTCTCATTCAGCACATTATTATTGTTGTTGTTTATTATTATTAGGCACTTAAATAAGCATTGCACCTTTCTTACATTTGTAATGAGGCGCAATCACCTCCTGTTTTGCTTGTGTCAGTGTCACTGCGAGGAACTATAAAGACGCAAAAAGTGAAAAACGCCCTGCTTACCTGAAGATGACAGTCTCAGGCAAGCGAGAATAATCCACACTGGCAATACGAGTCTCTTCATGGTCAATACAGGAGCTTGCTGGTCGTGTTTCTGCTTCTGTAATAAACATGTCGGATTAGAGATCTGAAGTAGTAGTAGTAGTAGTAGTAGTAGTAGTAGTAGTAGTAGTAGTAGTAGTAGTAGTAGTAGTAGTAGTAGTAGTAGTAGTAGTAGTAGTAGTAGTAGTAGTAGTAGTAGTATTAGTAGTAGTAGTAGTAGTTGTTGTTGTTGTTGTTGTTGTTGTTGTTGTTGTAAAATGGTATTAGTAGTAGTAGTAGTAGTAGTAGTAGTAGTAGTAGTAGTAGTAGTAGTAGTAGTAGTAGTAGTAGTAGTAGCAGTAACAGTAGTAAGAGTAGTAGTAGTAGTAGTAGTAGTAGTAGTAGTAGTAGTAGTAGTAGTAGTAGTAGTAGTAGTAGTAGTAGTAGTAGTGTAGTAGTAGTAGTAGTAATGGTAGTGGTGGTGGTTGTGGTAGTAGTAGAAGAAGAAAGAAAGGAAAGAAGGAGGAGAAGAAGAAGAAGAAGAAGAAGAAGATGAAGAAAAAGAAAGAGAAACTACTACAACTAATGCTGCTGCTACTGCTGCAATGCTATTACTGTGACAACCACTACTACTACTACTTCTTCTTCTTCGTCTTTTATTTTCGTCTTCTTCGCATTTTTCTTCTTCTTCTTTTTCTTTTTTTTTTTTCTTTTTCTTCTTTTTCTTCTTCTTCTTCTTCTTCTTCTTCTTCTTCTTCTTCTTCTTCTTCTTCTTCTTCTTCTTCTTCTTCTTCTTCTTCTTCTTCTTCTTCTTCTTCTTCTTCTTCTTCTTCTTCTTCTTCTTCTTTTTTTTTCTTCCTCATATTCTTCTTCTTCTTCTCCTTCTTCTTCTTCTTTTTTCTCTTCTTCTTCTTTTTCTTCTTCTTTTTCTTCTTTTCCTTCTTCTTCTTCTTCTTCTTCTTCTTCTTCTTCTTCTTCTTCTTCTTCTTCTTCTTCTTCTTCTTCTTCTTCTTCTTCTTCTTCTTCTTCTTCTTCTCCTTCTTCTTCTTCTTCTTTTTTCTTCTTCTTCTTCTTCTTCTTCTTCTTCTTCTTCTTCTTCTTCTTCTTCTTCTTCTTCTTCTTCTTCTTCTTCTTCTTCTTCTTCTTCTTCTTCTTCTTCTTCTTCCCCCTCCTCCGCACCTCCTCCTCCTCACGCCACATTCAATTGTTACGCTACTCAATGTGGACCAATTGTTACTTTATGTCCTTCTCATTCTGTCAAAAACATTAATTATTTTAAGTCAATGCATTCTGGAAAATAATGGTTAAGTTCAAAGAATTGGACAACGATTTTTTTTTTTAAAAGAAGAAAAGGTGCCGATAATCGCCATAAAGTGTCCATTACAGAAGTGCTGAAAAACAAAGATGCCTCAAAAGTGCGGTACACGCGATAAAGTGTCTAAAAAGTGGCTGGTACTCGCCATACATTGTCCATTGCAGTAGACTTATAACAAAAAATGTCGACTAAAGAAAAGGTACTGGTAATGAGTACCATTGCGTATCGCCAGAAAAAAATCCAAAGATTTGGAAAACGAGGAAAATATGTGAGACTGATAGATTTTGAAAAACAATGCTATTTTTTAGATTTATTGTTGAATGCGTCCTCCTAGTCTGTTTTTCGTTTTAGGCTGCTAACGGAGGTTTAGATCAAGACCGTCACCAGTATGGGCCGTGGGGGCTGGTGACGTCAGCTTGACGTGACGTCAAAACCCCGGGCTTACGATACAGTCCCGTCTTTTTGTAAAAATCGCAGGTCCGCTATCAGTTAACTCCAGGAAAAAAAACTACACATTTATTTTTATTTTTTTGGCCCACGCTTTACAGCTAACCGGAAGAGCCTTTGCCCATTCTAGAAACGGCATTGGTTAGATCACCCTCTGAGAATCTGAGTCTCAGTCTCATCCTTGATGTCAACCCAAAACCCCAAATTCCAGATATCCCGTTCAGCCTCTAAAGAAGTTATAACTGGAGCACCTGAACAACCACACACACACACACACACACACACAAGCCCAGCCTCAGCAGCTTGATGTAGCCGGCATGCCAATGCGTAAAAGGACACCAAGTACAGGAAGAATGATATTAATTTCTGGAATCTGGAGTCTGATAACAATCTCCGAGTTTTGGATTTCCCATTTAATAAATACACGCGCACGCGCACACCCACATACGCACGCACACACCCGCACACACACACATACACACACACACCTTTACAATTAAAAAACATACTAAGCTACATATCAATCACCTAATTCTTTGATTGTGGGTTTCAGCTACACAAATGGTCAAATAGCGACATTGTTGATTTAATTTGATATTGAAATGTATTTTTTTTTTAAACTTCAGATATACATAATGTGAATATTTTTTAAAAAATGCCATACTTTATACTTTCCAATTATAACTTTAAAGTTTTAATAGTGACATTATTAACATAGTATTTCAAATATCAACAACAACAACTATTACTACTACAATTACTGCTACTGCTGCAACTATTCCTACCACCGACGCTGCTACAGAAAAGAAGATACCATAGGCCTACCTGTCAATAGGTAATTGGTTATAAACACATGGCTCTTTGAGCCATAGTTGGTTCAAATTCGCGAATTCTGTGAGCGTAAATCCAAAGTTTTTATATAGGCCAGTAATCTGTTTATCTTTACAATTAGGTAACAAGCTGGCATTTCCTGGCCAAGTCAAGGGGTACCAGGTTTTGAAAGTCGCTTACTTTGAATGGTTGCACATAGTGTTTTCTTTTGAGTGAAAGATCCTGCACAGACCAGACACAGCACTTAGAAAACTGAAAAACAATGACATGAATGGGAAATGTTTCGTGGGACCTGTAAGTCAGGAGCGTGGCCACAAAGAAAAGATGGGTGCTGGGGGGGGGGGGTCGCACAGCTGCCTTACACATAGTATTATATTGCGTTTACAAAGCTGTGCCGTTGTGTTTTCGATATTTCTTAAGTTATTACTTATCATAGAAACATGTTTGTCATAGTGTCCTATTTTTATCTCGACGTTAATGTTTTATGCATAAATAATATTTAGACTGTCCAGTTGTATCGAAACAGGCGCTTTCTATGTTATTTTTTTTCCCCAGTTATGTATAGTGGTAGTAGTAGCAGAAACAGCAACAGTGCGGGAGTCGTAATAGTAATAGCTGCTGTCGTATTCGCCGTCGTAGTAATAGTCGTTATGGTTGGTCGTAGTAGTACTAGTGGTGGTGAAGGTGGCTGTGCTGGTTCAAAAAGAGGGAACTAAATGACGTTACAGGATCATTGATATCAAGCTGTGGAAAAAAAAATTTGATTTGAATGAACAAGGAGGGGAGGAAAAGGTGCTGGCTTTGAATAGGACACATTAAAAAACAAAAAAAAAAAAATGGCACCATTATAACTAGAGTGTACAAGGTCAAGGGGATAGAAGCAGAACAAAGAAAACTCGGAGAAGATAATTACGGAGGGAGCTGGAAATAAATCAGAAGATTTCACATGAGCTGCACACGATAGCTAAGTATGGATTCTTGGTGTGAGTTCGCTCACTGGAGGGTAACAATGAAAAAAAAAGTTAGTTGCGAATCCTTTACAGGACGTTGTAGAACCAACCCCATCATTTTTTGGCTGTTGCGATTTTTATATGCAAATTTACGGCTAGTAGTTTGCCACTGCTTTCTGGACGGTTGGCACTCGCTACCACTGTCGAAACCAACGCAAGACAAAACGTCCGAAGTTGGGATCGAAGCCAGGCACCCCGGTATCACGAAGCACTTTCGCAACGCCCAAGCCAGGCACTCCGGAAAATATATTTAATAGTTTTCTAAAATTACCTGGTGTCGTTTAAATCAGTAAGTAACCAGGTCTAAATCTGGCCATGTATTTACGACATCCACTAAGTGTCGATTGGTTTATAAAATATAGGTCTAGCCCTATTAGCCCAATACGTCTGAAATCGTGTAAAAGTGCCCGTTGTCCTTTTCTTTATTGTATGCTTGCAGAATTCCCCCCCCCCCCTCCAATCTATCTCCGCCATTTCTCTCTCTCTCTCTCTCTCTCTCTCTCTCTCTCTCTCTCTCCCTCTCTGTCTCTATCTCTCTCTTTCTCTCACACTCTCTCTGTCCTCTCTCTCTCTCTCTCTCTCTGTGTGTGTGTGTGTGTGTGTGTGTGTGTGTGTGTCTAATCCCCTCACCTCTCCCCATTGTCCTTTCTCTCGTGTTCAAAAACAGTCAAAAGAGGAAGCAACTCCTCGTTGTTCTAGTCACGAGTTACGCGTATCTTCTGCTGATTAAATCTATGTACAGTGAATGACAATAACACACTAACAGCTTCCATCCGCTGATTGTTGTCGCTTCTGTTTGTCACTTGTCTGAAGTGTCTGTATTTTCGGTGATTACTGTAACTGTTCCGTGGTTGTTAAATGACTATTTGGTTGACTGGATGGCTGGTTGGCTGCTTTATTAACAGGATGGTTGTGTGGTTGGTTGGATGGTTGGTTGGATGGTTTGAATGGTTGGTTGGAATGCTGTATGGTTGGTTGGATGGCTGTATGGTTGGTTGGATGGCTGTGCGGTTGGTTGGATGGCTGTATGGTTGGTTGGATGGCTGTATGGTTGGTTGGATGGCTGTGTGGTTGGTTGGATGGCTGTATGGTTGGATGGCTGTATGGTTGGATGGCTGTATGGTTGGTTGGATGGCTGTATGGTTGGTTGGATGGCTGTATGGTTGGTTGGATGGCTGTATGGTTGGTTGGATGGCTGTATGGTTGGTTGGATGGCTGTGTGGTTGGTTGGATGGCTGTATGGTTGGTTGGATATCTGTGCGGTTGGCTGGGGGAGGGGGGGGGGGGCTATGTGATTCGTAGATTGCTTGACTGGTTGAATGGCAACATGGTTGGATAGCCGGCTTAGTTTTAGTTGCTCAGATAGTTTGATATCTACCTGGTTGGTCAGGTGGCTGTCTGGTTGCTTGGTAAGTTTGATAACTATTTGTTTGGTTGGAA